AAACTGCACTTCTCTATGTTAAAACACACAGCATTCCAGTTTTGCTCCGATTTTCCCCATCTGAGCTCCAGAGGAGATGGGACACACAACATTACTTGCATGAATGACATCTAGGAGCTGGGGTTGTTATAAATTCAGGCTCAGTTACTGGAAACCAGTCCTAAAATGGTTACAGCCCAAATGGCTAGAACCCAGGGTGATTGCTGAATGAAAACTAGTGGAAAAAATGTCATCCTTAAAACAAATCCAGACAAGCAGTTTCAGGAGGAAAAGCATGTTTGAATTAATGTGAGTGCTCTGTTCAAACAAGACCGCACCCATGTTTAAATCTCTCATTTCTGTTTACAAGAGAACAAGGTGGCAGATGAAGGTTCGCTAGCTGACATTCCAGAATATTTTTTTCCTTAGCAATTGTTTCAGTGTATCCTTGTTAAACAAAGAATGAACAGGCTCAAACAAAAGTAGAATAATTTACTTTCTACTGTATTTGATAGGCATGAATGAAAAATGCTTTTACCTCTCTGACATTCAAAAGAAAAGGCTAAAGAAAGAAAGATACATTAAGATAAGAAAATCAAATGAAAACACTAAAAGACAGTTTCCAAATCGAAAACTCTCACTATGTTGGCTTTCAAAACTACCAGCCTGTGACCACAAAAGAAATCTTATACTCTGTGATAAAAGCAACTTTGGGAAGAAAAAAAAATATATATATGTCTATGCCGCTAGGCATGAACCATCAATCTGAATGTGCAAGCACTGAACCACAGTGCTATGACTGAATAACAGGCGCACAATATCCAATCTAAGATAAAAGTATCAAGTGCATGCTTTTAGCTGCCTAAAGCCTAAATCGTAAAAAGGTAACCAAGTACTTAAAAGAGGCATCAAGATTTTCAAGTGTCCCTAAACCCAATTTCCTTTGGAAAAGAAAAAAAAAACCCCAACCAGATCATGTGGAAATCAGCAGGTAAGGAATGTGCATATGTGTACCATCCAAAGGTGACATTTTAGTTCCTGGAAACTCAGGACTTAAGTTGTCCAAAATAGGGAAGTTTGCTCCAGGACACTTACATTTAAGTCCTTACTTAATAAAATTATCTTTTTGATAAAATGTTCCAAGATAAGCCGAATAATGTATTTTTGTCAAATGTTATTGCAGCAGGAGCACCAAGTACTATTTTGTGTCAAGGTTTTGTCTTCACAGAATATACCAACCTAAGCAAATTAGGGATTTACAGAGGTCTTCAAAGCAGGGACAACTTTAAAATTCAAACACGTCCCTCAAGGTCTTGTCCAACTGAGTCATGGATGCCTCCAGGGATGAAGACTCTACAGCCTCTTGGGCAACCTGTTCTAGTGCACTATTCTCCCAGTGGCAAACTCGTCCATATATCTAATTGCAATTTCCCTTCCTGCAACTTGTGACTGTTGCCTCTTGGCTTCCAGTGCCGGGTTCCGCAGATGTGGTGAGGGTGCAACTCCCCTTCTTCATCCAGATTGTATAATCCAATCCTGTGCTACTGCTTTTTTTTTTTTTTTTCCTGCAACATTACCTGAATTAACTTGTTCTTCACCATTTCCCTTTAGAATAGCTCACAGGAACGCTGCTCCGTTCATCTAATGTCAGAATAAACAGCATTGTGGGAGAGGGAAACTTCTGAAAACATTCCTGGGCCAAATCCTTATCTAATGTAAATTCCTTGCATCTCTAATTAGTTTATACTAAATGAAGATCCAAGCTATTCATTCAAAAGTGAGAGCGCCAGTAATGTATTTAAACATCAGCAGGTCATTTATTAGAACTAATTCTCAATGCTGCATGTATTAGTTCACTGTTGGCATAAACATCTCCTCGAGGAGCACAAGGAACGGGGCTACTTCTGCCTCACTGCTGAGTTAGAACAAGCAAACAAAAACATGCCAAGTGTTTCTACACTTAGATATATGTGCTTTTGAAGAAAGAATTCTTATTATTTGAATGCATTTATTACGAGTTGAGCCTTCCTAATCTCTAGATGCCTCTTGGGCTTAGAAAAACATGCATTTTTACAAGAAAACATTTTCTATAATCCTTAAAATAATTTTCTTGCCCAACAGCGTAATCTAAAAAATACTCAAAGGAAAACACTACCACCCATTAAAACCCCACCCTCCTGCAGTCCTTGACCATTAGAAGGGCCTTCATTGCAGCCTCCCTGAATTTGACCCAAGGAGCTAATACCATTTACTTGAGTTCATTTTTCATTACAGGAACATTCAATATAGGAGACTTCCCTTGGAAGAGGGAATCAGGGACAAACAACAGTCCTTGTTCCATGACATCTATGCTGGATCATTCAAAGTTCACAACAGACTGCTTCACAAACAGGAGCCTGCTTCAAGTCAAGTTGCAAGAAGGCTGTTAAAAAAACCTAGCTCATGCAGATTTAGTCACCTTACATTTTAGTCACTCACTGATCCTAAGTAGACCAGGAAATCAGAAACATCATGTGTGAGATATTCTAATCATACTGGACATGGTAAGACATCTTTCAGGTTTGATAGTTGACATAAAACACAACAGTTTTAGGTCTCCTTTCACTGACACCACCTACACCCTGCGTCCACAGCCATCACAGCCAGGAGCTTGTTCTGATTTGCAGCAGCAAAAGCAAGGTGAGGCTTCAGCCCGCAAAACTTATCAGGATAAAACTGGAACATTAGAACATGGATTTTTTCTTAAAAGATTTTCCTAGATAAACCACTCTGTAGTTTGGATAACACATGGGCTTAGCAGTGCTATCACCTTCACCATTGCTGTAGGCACAATCCAGCCCTTTCAAGAGTGACATTGACTGTGCAGGATGAAAACAGAAGATCAGCTGGCAACCCATTCTGCCTGGAGAGAGCACTTGCTTCCTAGAGATCTGTGAGCACTGAACCGTACCCTGCAGCAAATGTGAAATGGAACTCAAGAAAAGGTGAAATCTAACCCTAATACCTGCTTCCAGTGTTCCCAGTGTTGCTCCCAAAAGCTTGAAGATGCCAAGATATGCTAAGTGGGGGTGTGTCTATGTGCACATGTGTGTGTGTCTAATCCTGGTCTGTTCCTGTGCAGACCTATAAACCCACTTGGGTTCCCCCGAGTCCTGGGTCTTGCCCAAGCCTGAAATCTGCTGAATGCAAAAGTCAGCAACTAAGTTACAATCTTCTTCCTCCTCTGCCACAAGAGGAAATAATGACAGACTGCTCTTCTGTGCAAAGCTACTTCTAGCTATTCTTTAAGGCAGAAGGGACTGGGAGGTGGGGAAGAGGCCTGTGGGGAAAGTGACAGTTCGTGCCTGTCACTCAACTCTGCATATGGTTTGAATGTATAGATGAGCTGCTGCCTCTGTTTTTCCAGTAGTTGTGATCCTATTAAAATGCTGCTAATTTAATTGTTTAAAAAACTACCAATCCCTAATAAATGTAAGATGGTCTACAAAGGAGTCCTTGCTGGAGATGCAGATGTTTAACATAGTGCAACAATCAGTAGGATCAGCCTGGTCCCCTTATCGCTTTCCTGGTGCAGGTTTGAAGCAGATCTTGTTTATTGTTCTTTTTTGCAAACCTCTGTGAGATCTTTGAAGTGGTCGGGCTCCTCGAGCCATCAGGCACTGGGCTGCACCTGGTGTGAGGCAGACCGAGCAACTCCGATGTTAAACAAACAGCGATCCCAGCTGAGGACAGTGTACGAGTTATGGATAATGGCAGGAGGACAGGCATGTTCCATCCAAAGCAAACTATATGGTGTCTTAGAAAAGCAATTTGGAGCTGCATTTGCTATTCAGACCAGCCTGATGTGTTTAAACAAAGACTCTATTCTTTAATATACACACAAATACACATTATATCTATATATCTGTATGTATATAAAAGAATCCTTTATAGAATGTGCCCAGATGAGTATCCCTCGAACTCCCTGCTCCTTTTTCTGGAGTCACTATGCTTTTTATTATTGCTATCATGCCTTGCTGTACCCCAGGCTTAAAACAGCACACGACTGAGGTTCTTTTTTCCTTACAATCAAATCAATACCACTTGCTGGCTAACCAAGCGACAAGCACACTGAAGTATTTAAGAACATGCACCATTTCCAAAATATGCTGCATGTATAAGAATTTGTTATTTTTTTTTTAAACCTTAATCTTTAATGAGGAACTTTCTGCTACTTCATAGATTTTCTTCTTTTTTTGCTTTAATATTATATTTTCTTTCTTTTTTCCTTGTCACATTATCAAGTTAAAAATACAATAAATTTATTTAAATATAAATCTTCCCAAAGGCCCAATATTGCTAGTCACGTAATAGTAATTCATACAAAGATATATTAGTTTAATAATTTAGGTGAGCCTTTTTTAAGTCCTGTCATTACTCAGTCAAAAAAAAAAGGAACTTCATTAATTTTGCTTGAACATCAGCTTCAGGATTTGGTCTTTGGAAACTAAGCTTTCCTTTACAAAAAAATTACATCTGCCTTTCTCCAGCTTATACTACTACTCTTTGAGAGAGGCGGATGGCATAGCAGATCTACAGCACAGTGATCATGGATCACACAGCCGAAGGAGAGGTGGAATAAGACCAGCAACATAGGTCCATATATTTGCAGGATAAGTGGAGCTTTTTTATAATACTCGGATTATTCTACAGGGTGCTTTTATAGAAATTAAAAAAAGTTTCCACCTGCCTCATTCCAGCTTTCAATATCCTGTATTCAGGATATCCTGTAATCATCCAAAACGAATGGGTTTCATTGGTATCTTCATAAAATACCATTTTGTCAGAAATTTGGGAGGTTTTTTAATATTCTTTTTTAGTTAAATTGCCTACGTGCTAGTGTTTTGAAATAAAATACAGCATATAATATTATTCCTCTCTTCTCTCTTCTTTCATTGCTATTACTTGGGTACAGGAATACCTAAGATGGTAAACAAACAGGAGAAAGACTTGCAAAGCCATCAAGCAAATATCATTCCTACCTCCAGCCTGGTCCTGTCCACATCCTTAGGCAATTTCACACGAATTCGGTTTGTTACAATAAGTGTTTCGTAAGGATAAATCTGTTAAAAAGACAAGAGCATATGAACTCCAGACAAATCTGATTCTAATGTGTGGAAATGACAGTGTGGGGCACTTACTAATTTAAACGGTACATACTTGCATCCTGATTTGTCAAATATTTCACTGGGACAAAAATTAACAAAATAAAATAAAAAGAACACATGTAACCTTGCTAGGAAGTGCTGAATCTGATTTTTCTTCCAGTGTTGGAAAAGCCCTTCTTACCTTGTATTCTGCAAAAGAATGAGAACAGGTTCACAGTTTAGAATTTATAGGCTTCTTTTGGAGACACCACAATGAACAGTCAGGTACACCAGCAATTTGTTATGCTACTACATTTCTCTCTTCTCAATAGTTGTTGGATAACTTGCATGCACAGTAAGCATTTGACCCCCATGCTCTGAATGCCTAGAACACTATTGCCGAAGCAATAGTCCTTGAAATCAAAGGCTTATTACAGAAAATCCATTTCCTGATGCCATTGGATTACACAGTGAATATGTCTGGCAAAACGGAGAATTTCCTTTTACAGGAGGCTTTTGTGCAGTTAAGTCAGTCTGTCATCCCAAAGTCCTGCCCTTATTGTTCTTTACTGAAAATAGTTAAAATATATGGATTATTACAGGCATGTCAGTCTGGGAACATATATGAAAACCATTGAGTTAATACAATATTCCAAGATGCCAACATCCTGCACTTAGGCTGACTGCAGTGGGAAAAACGATAGTGAAGAAAAGATGATTTGGGGGTGTGGGGACAATGGGTCCTAGATCTAAACTAGCCCAAGGGTATTCTAGTTAGGTCAGTATAAGACTATATATGATATGACTACCATAAGTTCATCTATTCACAACAATGATTAAATGCAACCAGGATAGCCAGTATGTTTTCATAGACCTTTTTATGGTCTGAAATGAAATCAGAGATAGGTCTACTTTTCAAAATCTGTACTTTAAACTATTCAAACATAGAGACAAAGATTTCTATCAACACAGAGGCATGAAGTGAAGCACTAGAATACAATTTTTTAAAAGAGATTAATTGTCTTGGAAACAAAATCCTCAAAAAAAAAAAAAGTAGATGCATGTTCCTATATTCCTCAGCTCTTTTGAAAATTCCAATCCAAATTCCATATTAAGTTCACAGTCCACTTAAACTGTAATTTAAAAAAATGAATGCAAATAAATTCTGCTTTTTTGAATTCTGTACCTTTTAACCACCCCGTAGCACAAACAAGAAGAACAATGGACTTTTTTTTTTAAATGTTCTGAAGGAGTGATTATCTTAAATTTCTTCCTCTCTTCGATATGAGACCACCACCACAGAGGCTGTTGCCACATATGGAGGATACTGGGGTTGACTGAGCCCGGTTGCACCATTGTATGATGTAGGACTTCAGTCAGGCCTTCACGTTCAGTTAGATAAAAATAAGATTCTCAGTGATAAACATGATACTGAGCTGGGTCTCTGTCTAGTCTTTATTACGTGAACTACGGGAAGATCTCAGAATAGCAACCTTTATGGCAGTATGTTAACAAGCATCCTCAAAGGAAGAAAACATGCACTGGAGCAGAAATGATATTGCAATGTACCTTTCATCCCCCAGCTTGCCTCCTGGTCCATTTCATATTGGGCCATATTTTCAGGCTGAAAGACAAAGAAAAAAGCAATGCAGCAGCAAAATGCACCACAAAACGACTCTGCACATTGTCAAGAGAAAAAAGAAAACCAGCTGGTACCATACAATCAAAATACAGATCCTTGCAGGAGAGAAAGAGAATAAATTCTAATTCGAACTTGACCTAATTGCTCAAAGTAGGCATCCCGAGTGCTCACAGCACCCATCAATCTATGATTACAGAGATTCAGCTCTGCCTGTAGAAGAGGATGGAGTGTCAAGTGAGTGCCTGGGTCCTGAGAGGTATTGCAGGTGCAGTTTCTGCCTGTGCTGTGAACTCCCAGAGACCAGTGAAAGTCTGAGCTTGGATGTCACTCAGAGAGGCAACTGCAGTGTCATATCAACCCACCTCACCCCTAAGCCCTTTGGACCTTTTTAAGCTCTGATTCCTCACAGCTTTCAATGAGGCAGAAAGGTGTCAGGAAGCCACCAGCCAACCCCATTTTAAGACCTGGCCCTAAGGTAAGACTGAAGTTGTCACATGCCTTTCCCTGTGACACAGACGTCTTAGTGCTGTTGTCACAGATTACTTATGCTGCACCAAAACTGGTCTCATTCTGCTTTCTGCTTCACACTGCTGATCCCACTAAGACCAGGGGGAATTGTGCGCATGTGCTATAGCTTTGTTTGACCCACTGCCTTTTTCTTCTGCTGGCAAATGCTATGATGAAAAACATTACAGGAGATCAGAAAAGCACTATTATATGACTTTTTCCCTGAATCTCATTTTTGCCTGTTAGGGTACCAACAGTGTGCACAGCGATGCTCACAACAACCTGCCAGGCTCCTTATTGTTTGCTTTTGGTTTATTTTGTTATGCAGCACTGGGATGGCTGATCAAAAATAACAAACCACAGAAGCTGGTATGAACCTGCAATCCAAACAGAGGACATCCCTTCTGAGAAGAATTTGGGCCTCGAGGATTTGACCTTTTCAGCTTTCCTACTGTTTCCAGCTGGGACGCTGGACACTTTAGGTGGGACCAATGCTGCCATCTGCTGCGTTCCTCTCACACTGCATGGCTTTAGCTTGCGAGCACAGCAACCTCCATTGCTGACGGGTTTGCTTTGGCCTCATCTGTGTCGAGCTTTCAGGTGGTTTTGGAGCCCTACCAGCGCAGTGGCTGGGCACAAGTCAGTCCCTGGTTCACTTCAGGTTACTGGTAACAGTTACTTTGAAAAGTCAGAACAAAGCTGCTGACTCTTAATTGGGGACCGGTTTGTCTAAGCTCTTTCAAATTCATAAATCTCATTTGATCAAGCTGCAGTGCCACTGATTCCTTCAGAGAAGAGTTCAAGCAGACAGGTATTGAAGCAATGCAGGCACAATTAATCTTGTTATATTAACTCAAAGGGACAGACATTTCAGTACCTACTGAAAAATTAGTTTAGCTACTCTCTCAGCTCTTTTCTTGCAGCTCCTTCTAATGACCTGCAGTTTAACACTTATCATTGGGGAAGTTTGATCCTGCTCATGTACTTTTGCAGCTTTCACATCTTCCTTCACAGAAAGGAAGGAATTTGAATGAGATTCTGTCCATGAAATTTAAACAAAAATCAATCTTCAAAATGTAAGTGCCCACGCGTTTATGTATTGACTACTTACCACTATTTGTACCTAAAAATACAAGCCATGAACTGAGAACCCATAATGCTGGATGCCAGAGAGAAGAGGCCACAGCATCAAAAATGTCTTTTTTTCCTGAGGAACTGCAAAAATTATAATAAAGGATTATAAAAAGAACACCTAGTCTGATCTGATCGTAATTTCGTTACACATTTTGCTTTCTAGATCACTGCCAGCCATTCTCTCTGTACTGCTCCCTCCCCTGTCTTAAAAGTATGATGACTGTGTGTGTATATACATATAAATATATATATACACATGCACACTGGAAAAAACAGAACGGATGGTTCAAGAAACGCAATGGATGTGGGCTGTTCCACCTTTGCTCTAAGATTACTACTTGCCTAATTATAGGCCAAATCTTCTCTATCATTAATTCAAGCTATACTGTGATCTATTAATATGTGCAGCCTGTACATTTTGGACCTTTGTTTGTTTTGGGAGGAGAATCAAGATTCCTAATGCTTATGACACACACAATCAAAAGGAGAAGCCTCAGTCTGTCTTCCTCTTGCAGAGAGACAAACTGTAACCTGCATAGGGTATGACAGGGCTTGCAGTCAAAACACCTTTGAAGCGTTACTGCTGTGCAGATTTTCAAGTAGTTACGAAGCTGACTATTTATGATACACTATTGCCTGGAGAATGCATTTAAATGTTTGCCTACCTGATGTAAGCCGTTCTTTCCATAGCCAGGTAGAGAAGTAGATTTAGAATATGGGAATCCTGTAAAAGACATAACATACAGGGGTATTTTTTGTAAATCCTTTTCAGCCTACTAAAACACAGAATTCAAGAAAACAAAAAGAAACAGCAATTACAAGATCAATATGAACATTCTGTTATCAAGGTGTGATACAACTGAGCAATGCCCATCTTTTCTCTATATTTAATGTGCATGAACATGTGTAACAATGTCTATAATTGCATCCCAGGATGCAATCACCTTGCCAGGCATGACATGAAGAGAGCTGTGGGACTCATGTTATGGAAGCCTTATGCAGCTACATGATGCAAAGCACATTGGAGAGCTTGTGAAATGTCTGCGTTCCAACTTGGTGTTAAACCATGACTTTAAAATGGGATTAAAGGCACCATATTTCAGAGTTATATCACTTCTGATCATGATGTATGTGGTCTGGTTTTTGTTTTGTTTCTTAAAAACAAAGGGTCCATAACCTACTACTACAAAAAAAAAAAAAAAAAAAATTTGCTTTCTTTAAAACAACTTCTACTGGAAAAAAGCATAAATTAAGATATGGCAATGGACAGAGTAGTAAGTGAGAGTATAAACACTCAACAGAAAGAAAGCTGTAAGATAGACAAAACTGGTGAAGTGGTGTTACCAGGAACAAACTGCACGTAATACATGATGAAATTGCCTGTGGTCAGTGTGTAACAACTCTAGAGACATACTTTTAATACTGAGAGTCTAATAAGAAAGTTTGGAAGTCCCTTTTGTCAGTGAAAGGACAAAAAGTGTTGCAGATTAGTTTTTGGTTAATAAAAATAATGCTGTATAGAAGTGACAAGCTGCATCAGTTTAAATTGAACAGAAGATGAAAAAACATGTCTATAATAAACATTCTTGATTCCAGTACAGGAAATTTTGATAAATAGATGCAGACAGATAAGTCAGTTAGCTCAAAGAACTGAATGTACAATGCTTATTTCTGTCAAAAATGTTAGCAATCTGTGCCCAAAGGGGAATGCAGGAAGGGAATCCAGACCCCACTGGATTAATAAATACCCTAAGGAGATGATTAGGAATAAGCATACAGAAAGATCAGCAAAGAGCTCACAATGTGCTGAGATAAAGTGAGAACTGCCAGAAGTCAAACTGAGTTAAACACTGAAAATGGTATTAAAACAAATAGCAAAAGGTTCTCCAGCTATCCAAATAAAATGAGAACAAGGAAAGAAGAAACGGGATCACTGGGAGTTACACTGTGTCAGTACACAGCAGAGGTGAAAGGTAACCTAGGTAGGGCTCCAACACCGAAGAAGAATTTCACCTCTGTTTTAAGGAACAAAAGTTAAAGTACTGAGGCAAGGAGGGAAAGCTAACAGAATAAGGGTAGGGCAATGAATGACAGTGATGATGGAAACATAATTCAAATGGACTTTCAATCTACTTAAACAGGAAGCAATAAGCTCCCACGAATTGCAAGTCCAATACCTCTCACCATGGGAGAACGGCAACTATAGTTTTTTTATATTTAAGAGGGGAAAAAGATAATAAGGAGCTATCAGTTTGCTTCCAACAGAAAACTAAAGGAAAGACTGAACAAAAACATCAAAGTAAACAGAGAATCAATCATAGTCACATAGATTTTAATTGATTTGACATAAGATAAAGACACAGTGCCAGACTTGCTTGGTAGCTTTCTTTGTTAGACAAATTGCTTCTGCACAAGGTAAATTTTATTGGATCTCCTCTAATGTGATATCATTAAAATGTTTGGTATGTTGCCACACATTAAATTAAATGCCAATCTGGAGAAGACGGAGTTTATCAAAGGAAATGTAGCATCAGTAAGGAAATAATGAAATGTAAGAAATGGGTATTGAGAACTGTGCAGTGTTGATAGAGAAAAGTGTCAGCATGGACTGGTGCTGAGTTGAAATTGCTAATATTTTCACTAATCATCTGGACACCAAAAATAGTAACAGGTTAATAAACTTTGCTGTTGAAACAAAGTAATAAAACACTGACAATATAGGGGAGGACTGGGATATCATAAAGAACTGGGTTGAACATCAGAGTAACAGAAATGGGATAAAATTTAATAATTCATAGGAAAGCTCATGCATTTGGGGGTCTAAGATCTACCTCAAACTTCCACTGCTTAATCTCAAAGCTCATCATTTGGAAATGATAGGGAAGGAGAGAGGCTTAGATAAACAGCTCAATCACAAGATGACCTTGAGTTGCAAATGTAAGTATATGTCCTGGTTTCAGCTGTGACAGAATTAATTTTCTTCACAGTAGCCAGTAAGAGGCTGTGTTTTGGATTTGTGCTGAGAAGAAGGCTGATAACATGCTGATGTTTATAGTTGCTGCCAGGACAGTCAAGGACTTTTCAGTTTCTCTGCTGTGCCAGTGTCTGCAGGTGCAGGAGAAGTTGGGAGGCAGCACAGCCCCAGTTACTAGCCTAGGGTTCAACCTTAGGTTTAGGACTGAGACCTGCACTGGCCAATGGTATATTCCATATCATGCACGTCATTCCCAGTATGTAGGTGAGGATCTGTCCAGTCCAGAAGTTCCCTCTCTCACTTGGGGTTGCCCTGTCTCTCTGGGTCACCTGTCTCTTGGGGTTGTCTCACTCTCTCCATCAGCTCTCGATCTCTTGGACTCTTGGGCTCTTATGTCCTTTCTGGGATTACAGTTTCAGGACTCTCTCTGCTGGGATCATTAGCCGGGAATGGGCTGAGCCTTGGTCACTGGGTGGTGAGCAGTTTCACTGTGTACCACTCATTTGTATATTTGTATATATTATCATTATTGTTATTATTATTTTCACTATTACTGTAGTTTGTTCTTATCTCAACCAACAAGTCTCTTTTCCGTTTATCCCTTTAATGCTCTCCCTCATCCCCAGGAGGAGGAAGGGATGCGAGTGGCTGTGTGGGATTTGGACGCTAGCCAAGTGGGTCAAAATCACAACAGTATTAAAAAAAAAAGGCAAAAGTTGGAAATGTCTGGCTTGATAAATATAAAATATGGAAATAAATGTAGTATTTTTGGGCAGTGACAGGATATCCTGGAGGAATCGTTTGTGTTGTTCTTGTTCATCCGTATTTCAGTGGGTTAAATTAACTCCACTAGACCAGTGGCCTACAGGATAACTGGGACAATGAAAGAAAAGAAAGCTTGTAAGCTTGATTTATTTATGCTAGCAAAATGAAGATGACCTATAAAAGCAAGAGATATTTTAGAAACATGATCAACCACCATCAAGGAGGGGTACAAACTATGAGCAGAACTTCTGTTGTTGCCCCTACAGGGGCTTTCCACATCTGATACGGGGATGTAGTGATGAATGGTGAATTACATGGGTCACTGACCTATTCCAGTTTAGAAACTGGAAACTTATAATTGCTTGTTATTTCAATGGTAATTCCACCTGAGCAAAAAGAGTACATAGCATCTCTGAGACAGAGCAAACGGACCTGCAACAAAATTGTCACCTCTAGTCCCACCTGGAAAAAGATGCTGGTGTTGAACACCAGCATGGAGCTCAACTTCTTGGCCTCTTGGCTACAGAGAAGATGGGTGGGATTGTTTTGTTCACTTGCCAAATAGTATTATTCAGTTACCAGGGAAAAATGCACTAAGGTAAAGACCACAGTTTGAAACCAGCCCCAATTCACTTTAGCAGGCAGCAGCATTGGAGCTGCCTCCCAGGCTGCTAGGATGGAGCCGCATCCGCGGGCACAAGCGACATCGTGTGGCCGGCTGGAAAAAATCCAAGAGGTGAACAAAGCTGAAATAGTCCAAAACAAGCTAGTAAGAACCACTAACTCCAGTGGGAACAGTATTTCACTTAACTTATCGTTCCCACGAACTTAGTTGCAAAGTTAAACACGTTTTATTTTTTTTGCTTCTTTTTTTTAATATAAAGGAAAAATATAATACTAAAAGCCAACAACCACTTACCGCTCATTACCACATCCAACCACAGTTTTACCATTATAGTAAATTTTCTGGAGTAACTAGCCAAGATAAAGCAATCTCTGTCTCAAATTAGGCATTATCTGAAGATCAGCTACTGTCTGCATAGGTACTGCTCCCACTTCTTCCATTGTGACATTCACTCTAATCTGGATATTCTGAGGTTGCCTCTCAGCACATTAGGGACACATGAACAGCAAGGTTACACATCTTGCTAGATGTCTGCTTTCCTAAGTATGTGACACTTAAAATTATCAATTAGGGCAAATGATTAACGATTAAACATCTACACATACAGGAACAAGGCATATTACACATGTGGATGTAAGGGGAGGCAAGCTCCACTCCAGACACCTGCTAATTACACAGCCCTTATACTCATGTGCTTCATTGTTAGATATATTCTTCTGAGCATATAGCTAATGTAATGTGGCTAAATATCTTCTAGAGCAGAACAACCCTTCTCTGGTTTGCTCAGAGGCTGGACAGATGAACGCAGGGCTGGTTGCACAGTATGTTTGGACACATCACCTGAGATTTGCAGTCTGATGCCTGCTAACCCCTCCACTCTGCATGAAACCACTTGGCACCAAACCTATACCTGAAAAGTTTATTTTCTCTGATACTCACTGACTATGCCACAGAGATGGGGCTGAATGTCAGAGTTCTCAACCGTAACTGCAGGAAGTCACTCTTCCATGGCCAACAGGGCATGTAACAGACTACAAATACCCAGAACTACATAGGGAAACATTGAGTAGAGAAGGAATTACTTAGGATGTCCATGAGTCAATGTGGCTGAATAAAATCAGAAAGAAAGGGAAAAAAAGAAGCGTGAATGTCAGGAAAAGAAAACTTCTTCAATGTAATTTCTGTGTAGCTGCTAACTGGGTATAAGGGCCAACTTTCACAAGGGATAGAGAAATGTGAGAAAATAACAATGGAAAATGAGCTACACAACCGACACCACAGTGGCACAAAGGTGATATTGACCCTGACAGAGGTGTGAACCTTCTTTTGCATTTCTAGTTTTAATATCACTGCATTCCCAAGATAATAAAACACATAAAATAAATGCTGGTATAGAAGAGTGACAGGTGTAGCAATATTCTCATGAAAAAAATGGACACCTAATGTTGTTCCTATATAACACAGTTCCTGGTGTGCTACATACTTCTCCCTACTTAAAATTTGCATGGAAGGACTATTCTCTTAATACACATGTAGAAAATATCAGATCACTCCAGAAAGCTTCCAAACATACCTAACAAGCACATGAAAGGTTTAAGTGTTCATTTCTGGGCAATGACTTACAGATGTTAGGGGTGTGAGGTGGTCAGACTCGACTTCCCTTGCACAGGGAATCCTACAGTACACCTTGTGCATACGGATGTGGTGTCTGGTGAGGACTAAGGAATCAAACCCCTTCAGGTTAGAACAGTGAGGCTGATGATCCAAAATAATTTTTCTTCTTTATCTTGTTACAGCTTTGTGACAGACTTTGTAGCATCTGTTTTTCCTCTTCCTTGCATAGCTAAGCCATAATTTCCTTAATATAACTCAATGGAGCCAGCTATCACAATACCAAACTGCCCACAAGACTGACATTCTAGCCCTGCTGCCAGACATGCCTTGCATTGGATGCATTCTTTTGGAAAACTGCTTCCCCAACTTGTTCACCCCAGATGACCTGCTGTGGTGTAAAGTGGAGAGAAACAGCCCAGTTATCTGCTAAAATTAATTTAACCTATTTTTTTGTTATACAATTTATGCAATCTAAAAGTAAAATTCGGACCCAATTCTGATTAACATTTCTTACACCTCCTGACTTGCTGAAATGCGGAGTAAGAAATGTGTAGAACATGCTTTTGGTACTGACAGCTAGCATGGGCAAACGGTGTTCAGACCAGTATTCAGTAACAAAATTACCCCGTTATTCCACCTGGAAGGTTTCTGGGAACGTATCAATATAACAGTGAGAGACAATAAAACAATGACTATTTTAAGCTAATCTTTGGAGCAAAGTAAAGTGTTCTTTATGTTTCATCACAATACGGAAGAAATGGCTCTAACAATATTCAAAATACATAGTTTGTATCAAGAAGTAATTAGCACAAGTTAACAATTTGCCTGATACTACCATCTTGTCTGTTGAAAAGAGATAGCATATAATAAACAGGTGCATTTATGTATTAATGAGAGGCAGGTTTTTGTGGAAAGGAATCTCTGCTCTCCAAAGATACAACACTTTCTTTATACAATCAATGCTTCTTCAATATGAAGCTATAACTAGTTTCACTATCAAAGTCTGAAGGCACTGAACACTTACAAGCCATAGCAAAACAAACTGATACGTAATTATGCTGGAGAAATGAAGCATAAAGCCAACTAGAGAGCTATGTGGACGAGGCTGCAGCAAGGCCACCTTCCTTTGCCACATTCCCACTCAGCAGCACGGGCAGGACAGGGGATGCAGTACTCACGGGAGTAGCCGGCAGTCGTGCCCTCCTGCGCCCTCGGGAAGTTTTCTCTGTCAGTTCCAGCAGAAAGAGACAGGGACCGGGTGTCCGAATCCGGGGAATTAGTTCTGGTGTCCACGTCCCCTTTCAGCATAAGCCAACTGGTCTTTAGCTGGAGAGAGCAAAAGCAGTTCCCCTGCTTCACCTGTCTTGGACTGTCTTGTGAACTGATTGTATGTTTATGCTTGGTACATCCTGTGCCAACATCGACCAAACTGCAAAAGTTGACTGTATCATGTCCCCATTAGATATCACCGCTACCAAAAACTTCTAACTTTCAGGTGGGCTGAGAATAGTTTCTCTGTGAATTAAGCTGTCCACTCTGCCCCACTTTAGAAGACGAAGATGCAATTTTCTTATAATTAATCTGCTGTCAACATTTTCCTTGTATGTTAATATGACCCATACTTAAAAGTCCATAGGCTTAGCTGAATCACAAATGTATATATTGAGACTTATTGAAAATCCATGAGCTTACTGCTCTTCATCTCAATATCCCTACTTCTTTCTTTACTGCAGAATGTAGATTCTAAACCTTCTGGGTGAGAGACTAAGATTTTCTGTATCTTCTTAGAAAGACCTAAAAGTAGTAATGACAGTTTCAGTTATATGAAAGAATACCTTTACATACGAATGTGTTTTAAAAGCAGTTGCTTCAAGAAAGATCAATAAACTACTCTCTTCTGTTCTTTCCGATCATTACCTTCTTATTGTCCTGATCCAAGCTTCCATCCTCCCCTTCTGATCTTCTTGCTGCTGGAAGATTAAGTTAAATTTAAAAATTGGAACAGATCACATCTCTTCTTTTCTTCTGTTTTGACTGTGAATATGTTCCAAATATTTTTAAAAGGGGAAAAAAAAATTTTAAAAACCCCATAGCTGGGCAGGAAATTTGATGGTTTCACAATTACTTAAAATAATTTTGAAATTATTACAGTACTACTCATCCTTAGGTGCACAGTGAATTTAGACAATCTGTTCTTGCTGGATTGATCCTTTTAGGAAGAAACTACTTTTGTGGAATGATTGGTAGGAAAAAACCAACATCGTAATTTAGGGACAGATTTATATGGTCACTGCACATAGTGCAGACATTTTCCCATTCTTCTGTGTTACTGTGACCATGAAAGTACATATGGTTACATAGATATTTAGTGGTCTGCACACCTGGGACTCCTACATTCCCAAAAAGGATAGATAACCATGTTAAAGAAGACAGGAACAAATTTGGTATTACCCCTTCATGAAATCTGCAAGAGAGGTTGCGTCAGACTCTAAAATTCACAGTTCTTTGACCAACCACTTCTCTGACTACATGGCCCTCTTTAAGAGTCTTTTAACAAAAAAACATTGCTGGTATTTTAATATTGGTTTATTTTCTGGTAACTTTACAACTTGCAGAGAAGAAAACTCAAACCTGAAAACCTAGAAGCTATTCATTAGATAATTCCCAGCCCTCAAATGTCTTTTTCCCTGTCTTTTATGTCCCAGAGTATTGTTCCAAACACTGACTTAGACATCAGAATCTTACAGAAAGATTTTGTGCCAAATTTCACATCATTTCAGTTAAATTCCCCAAATTTGAGTCCCACCTGCCTTTGTATCACTCTATGTTGTTTTGGGGAGAGTTTTAATGGTGCAAAAGTGGAGTAACGCAATGATCTAGCATAATTTTAAGCTCATGAGAAGTCATCATAACACAGGGGTTGTCTGCAATGCCTGAGTAAAAGAGCAACACAAGAGCCCCATGCAACGTAAGGTAGCCAGAAAACATTTACTAATAATAAAAACAGTATGATTATATAAAAAATTTAAGGCTCAGTTTAGATTTTCAGAGACAGAAGTAGAGAAGAGATCAAGCTGCACCATTAGAAGTGCTGAAACACTCCCAGCAAGTTGGGAACAAATCTGTTCTCTCTGTTGCCCCAGCCAGCGTGTTTGCAAAGGATCTGCCCCGCATCTAAACAACACAGGCAAAAGGTCATGATTATGTGCATTTCAGTATTATTCTGTTTCATTTTTGGTGCCATCACACAGCTCATATCCAGACCTTAACTGGTTTTATTGAGGAGGTGATACTTAAAAAAATGACAGATTTCAGTAAGGAAAAAATCTATGGGCTAGAGGTGAAAATCTGTAACTGTAGAGGTTTTTTGTTTTTTTTTTTTTCTTTCTCAATTTATTTGTGGCAAAACAAAGCTGGGTCATAAAATAAAAACAGCATTATGAAAAAACCAAAGGTCTTCACAGTTAGCATCCTGATGAAGGCAATTTCCCAAAATGGTGAGCTGCTTCTCTGAGAAAGAAATAGGAACAAATATCCATATATGACAGACGAAAAATAAAATCCCTACATTGCAAGGAGGACTTAAATCCAGTTCACTGACATTTTGTGAGCATATCCTAAATCACCAAGCAACAAGTTGTTCCAGGTTATATGTATGGATCTTGCTCTCACTAAATCAGAAATCCATATAGAGAATCTGATGCATTTTCAGAAATTGTTTTTGTTTCAAAATACTGATCTTCTCAAAGCAAAAAAACACGTTGAATCCAAAATGTTATTCAGAGATTTCATATGTTCCATGGGATTGTGAGAGCATCTGACTTCAAAATACTTAAACACCAATGTTTTATACAGAGTTGCAGCAGAGTAAAACCAAAACCCACAGGGGCCATGAAGGCCTGTCTCTCCCAAGTTCCTGAGAAGGCTTCACCCAACACATCGTTGGCAGACACATACAAGTGGTCTGAATTTCATCAGTACTGAGCATTAGCTTCACTGCTACAAGGGATACTCAGCTCTGTGGTGAACCCCAATGTGAACTGCATGTTTCACATGGACCAGTGCTAATATTACCAAACAGCAAACCTCTTCTTTTTGTTTTTTTTGAATGATGGTCAAATAATTCTGAAACATGAACACACACACACGAACAACCACAGAGGCTCTCGCTCTCTTCACTTTGTGACCCCAGCTCTTAGCCTAATCTCTCTCATGTCCCATTTTTCCACTACTTTTTTTTTTTCATTCTGAAGTTGGGTGTTTATAATAAAAACACAGAAGCTCTAGCTACAGCAAATCTGTTGGGCACCGCTGTAACTGAAACCTTTTAAAGCCAAATGTTTTGGAAGAGCTTCTTGCACTTTTTGTTTTAAAGAACATTTTTGTGCTTGTTTGTTCAAACTTGGTCTCTTCAACAGAGGAATGTTCTCTGGCTCCTTTTCAGCATGTATTACTTCAGTGTCCTGTTAGCTCGAGGAGCTGAATCATCAGCTGCTCGTGTGTTCACGCTTTAGCTGGGAGTTCTTCCAGAAAAAAAGGTAAATTTTATTTATTTTATTTTTTTTATTGGAAGGAAAGTTCATTGATTTTTTTGGTTTTTTGGGTTAGTGTAAATTATGTTTTGTTCTTCAGTAGAAAAACAATGAGCATGTACTTTCAATACAACCTTTCAAAACATCTATAATCTAAAAAGAAAGTTTAAAACACATTACCTTGTTAACCAGCTGGTTTTGACTGGGGTAGAGATAATTTTCTTCATAGCAGTTAGTATGGGGCTGTGTTTTGGATTTGTGCTGGAAACAGTGTTGATAACACAGGGATGTGTTTGCCATTGCTGAGCAGTGCTCACACAGAGTCAAGGCCTTTTCTGCTCCTCACACCAACCCACCAGCAAGTGGGCTGGGGGTGCACAAGAAACTGGGAGGGGACACAGCTGGGATAGCTGACCCCAACTGACCACAGGGATATTCCATACCATATGGCATCATGCTCACCATATAAAGCTGGGGGAAGAAGAAAGGGGGGGGATGTTCGGAGTTATAGCGTTTCTCTTTCCAAGTAACAGCTAGGTGCGACGGAGCCTGGCTTTCCTAGAGAAGGCTGAACACCTGCCTGCCGATGGGAAGTAGTGAATTAATTCCTTGTTTTGCTCTGTTTGTGTGCAGCTTTTGCTTTATTTATTAAACTGTCTTTATCTCATCTCATGAGTTTTCTCACTGTTACTCTTCTGACTCTTTCGCTGATCCCACCGGGGGAGGAGTGGCCAAGCAGCTGTGTGGTCCTGTTGCTGTCTGGTGTTTAACCATGACACCTAAAGGGACTGCTGACTCAATTACTTAATTCTCTGCTGACTCCAGTGATTATGAGGGACAACTCCATCCAGCAATGCAAAATTGACATAATCCAGACTTTGACTGCATATCTGATGGATGAAAAATTGATAAAAAAATGACTGGCCTGGAAGAAAAAAAAGCTGCTGCTGAGAATCCTCTTTGTAAACCAAAAACATCTATAAAATTAAATGACACAGCCATGATACAGGACATTGGAGCCATATCATCAGCTTCCATAAATCAGTGAAACTATGCTGATTTACATCAGATTACTGTAACTTTGCATTTACCCATGATCTTTCCAAACATCACTACAATATTCAACTTTTGCCTTTGTCAGTAGCTTTTTTTGCTCAGCCTCAAATGATTTGTATATCTAAAGTCAAGAAGGAATTAGAGAGCTTGGGCAGGCTATAAAATCAATAGATTACATTAAATCAAGCACTAAAACAAACAGATACTATCTTTTTGCCTGAGAGGTAACATTAGTTTGTCCAAGATTAAGGATATTGTGAGCAGAAAATACCCATCAAAGACCAACACCGAAAGTGCACTGAAACGTCAGCAAATCTCACTTTGCTCAAAACCATACCAAGAAAAACCAGAGAGATTATCTAAATCTGCATGTTACTTTAGCATAAAGCACCAGTTACAGAGAATGTGCACAGGCTGACTCACTCAGTTGGGAGACATCAGTTGACAATTTTCTTTCTCCTATATTACTGTATCAGATCCAAATAAGAACTTAATCCAAAACAGAAATAACTGTCATTTTCCATGAGAGACAGCAAAAAAACCCCAAACAAACAAACCTTATATAAAAGCATAATTTTTAAAACTATGTTAATTGGGTATTTTAATATAAGTTAAAGGCCCTTGTTACCACAAAAGAAAAATATGTAAAATGTATTTTCCTTGTTCTGACCATGAAGGCAGAGATATACTTGCAGTTCCCTAACCTTTCACTCAGTGAAAGTTATCAGCTGAAGCCAAAGTATGGGAGAACAGACACATGGAGCTTTCTCAATCATAGTTACATGGGAAGTCACCTCTGTGTGGACAGTGCTGGAGAAGGCAATAGGATGGGAGGAGCTGCTCCAACAGAGACACTGCTCACAGGCACAGTCTGGAGCTTCCCTTGCCATGAAGAGTGGCACAGCTTCCTTCTCCCATCTGTATCCCTGAAGACAGATACTTTTATCCCCAAAGTACCTTAGCTCACAGTGTGATTAACATCTCTCATGTTTATTTTATTCTCTTACTTGTTCCCAAGCAGGGATGCAATCACGATTAAAACAAAATTTTTGGGGTGGGGCAGATTTACATCACATATTTTATTTTTAGTTTTGTCCTTTGCTTCTGAGTACAGGAGTACCCCAGTCATGACTCTTAATCAGAAATGTACTTCTGCACTTTTCAGGCACCCTTATTGCAGCAGAATCCCTACATATTTGTTTCTAAAGATTAATAGTGGAATTCACTTTAGAAAAATGAATTCCCTATTACTAATCCTGTATCGTGAACCAAGATCATTGTCAAACATCACTGAGAACACAGTGGGCACCGACACCAACATGGAAATTGCATTTATGCTGATTAGTTAAATATACTGCAAAAATAAGAATAGAAAAATGACGACTTTATATTTCTATTTTTCATATTTACTAGGTTCTTAAGTCAGATTCTCAGTGGCACAAAACACCACATATTTCTTTCTGTTGTTTAGAAACTCAGACAGCAGTCTTGTTGTTGGGTCTATGAAAGGTTTTCCAATCACCTCTTGCTGATGTCATCAGCTACTGAATTTGTTTCTAACTGCCATGGTTTTGACTGCATTTGTTCTTGATATTTTACAGCCTAAAGAACTTGCAGATGAAAAGAAGATACTTCAAATACATGACCTATCAAAGAACATTTTTTTTATCCAGCAACACAGAAGTCAGAATTATTTACAGCAACTAGACATCCCAAGGCATGGTCTGAAAACAGGAGAGCAAACTTAAACATTTACATGTTTTTACATGATTCCATAAATAAGAAAACTGCTTTAAAGTTAGTATCAGCTCTGAATTAGCAAGACAAATCAAAATATCACCACCCCAGTTTTAGAGAACTTACTGAATCCTTGGACAGCACGTTATACAAAATGTTATTTAATTTTCACTTCTTTTTTTTTCCTTTTCTATTTGAGATTAGAGGGACATAACGAAATGAAAAGACTACAGCAAACTAATTTGGAAGTCAATATTAGAAATAGTCAATAGCTAGAAAGCCGCAACAGAGAAAAGCAGACTGTACCATGCTGTTTGTAGATAGGAGGTTTCCTATAGATGTTATCTTTTACGCCCGTGTCTGAGGAAGAGGAAAGAGAAAGGAAAGAATAAAAGAGTAAGCAAGCAGTTCAGACCATGCTGCTCTTGTCTCCTCTCAACAACACTAAAATTGCAAACACTTCAGCACAGACTACGCGTTCATTCAGTGGTTTGTCATTCACTGGTTATTACAAGAGAATGAAGCTTTATCCATAATTACATATTTAAAACATTGGCTATACCTACCTATGCAGCATAATCCCCCCCTAAATCCCTCAAAATGTTTTAAGACATCTTGAACGGCATCCATTTGCTGAAATGTAGGTGGTTACAACTGCACTACCAACAAATACTTCATAGACAACAAAGAGAAACTGTCTACACTTGTCGTTACTTAAAATTCATATCCAGGTACAACAGACTACTAGTCATACTTGAAAATGGACTTTCTCCATCAATTATGAAGAGAGTGTACATGTTCAGATATAGATGTTTATACTGGAAATGTCCAATGTTCTTATCGGAAATCCTATAGTTTGTCTATATTTTGAATTGTACAGCTAACTTGGTGTTCAAGGATTTTTTTGAAAGCCCCCAGAGCTACAGTCCAGGGTTCTCATATCATGTACAGACACCAGTTTTATTTAGTACTAGAGACCGGAGCAGATGCAATTCCTAATTTGGTGTGTTTACAGAAATGTTAACCCCAGAAGCTATACATACATAAACAAACTATTCCACTGCTCAGGTAGATGTGTTTAGCTATCAAAAAGATAAACAATGCGGTACAGTAAATTTAATGTGTTTGTTGACTGAACATGATCTTGAAAACAGCATAGTACATATGCAAAGACAGCCACAGAGAGCTTCCTGGAGTTCTAAGGTCTTCCAGCTATTTTTGAAGTCTATGTTAATATGACTCTTTAATTCAGAGAGTAGATGGATAAGGAAAAAAACAAAACCAAAAACCCCTTCAGCCTTCCCTCCTGTACATAAATTTAACAGACCTTTGCAGCCACAGCACTATAAATAATTGTATCTTTGTAGGCTTAATAACATCTGTCACCCTGTGCCTCCTCTAATGCATTTTTTAATATATACTTTCGCACACAGCTCTCTAACTCCTTTATTTCCCACACAAAGTTTAACAGCTAGCATATTTTCACTTCTCAGACATTTTCTTCTCTTGCAGTTTGAAATTCACAAATCAATGCAAAAAAAAAAAAAAAATCCATTCATAAGAGAAAAAACAGGTGCCAGCAATTGAAGATCAAAAACTAAGCAGTGAATGCCTACCTGGAATATGGAAATGCCTAGGAGCCTGCTGATAGACAGAAGGTGAAGATTTGCTGTCTGAGTACATGGATAAGCTTGGAGTGCTCCGACCACTTTCACTGCCTCCAAGGGGAAGAGCAAAGAAAGCAGATACAAGAAAAAATGGAAAGCAAAGTAGAGTATTTCAAGCATAAAAGCTTGTTCAAAATGACTTGTTAATCCAACATTTTTAAATACATGGGTTTTGTAAACCCCATTATTTTTCAGCACAGTGTATTGGCTCAGTCTCCAAACATCTCATCAACAATGAGTATCTGATAGAGAGTATCAGATTAAACTGCTCCACTTTGAAACTAAAGCTTCTCTTTTAACATCATGTTAATGAACAAAATAAAAGCATAAGAACATCCACAATCATGTAATGTGTTTTGCATACCCTTAACTGCATAATATATCAATCAAGTTTTTACAAGATTAATCCTATGGCTCATGGCCTACCCCTGAAACCAGTAATGAAATCATTCAGTAGTATTTAAAATATCTCAAAGCAGGATTAGACCAAAAAACAGATGCTACAGTTAAGTCAAATATTCCTGCATATATCCATGACAAAAACAGATGTTCAAATTTATTTCTTAATTGCAAACTCTTCCCACAGGTAACATGCCACAGCATTTTTTATTTATGCAAACAAGGTTGGATTATCAAGTCATGGATCTATAATGCCATAGTCACTTCACCAAATTTCAGTATATACATAGGATTGATCTGTATTTATTTTTTCACTTGTTTTGTCCAATGCTCATTAGGTGCCATTCATTTCCTCTTAGCTGATTTCCCCAAAGCCCACTCTATGGCATTATAGTGCTGCTTGGCAAACAAAAAAGTAAAGCTCTACTTTTTTGGGACTTGTAAAATCCTATTAATTTACAGCACTGTTAAGCAACTGGAAGCCAAACATGACATTTATTCTAACATAAAATGGTTGTTAATTGGCTGTTATTGTTTTAGTGTGAATGGAGCACAAATTTAATGGCTAATAATGATGAAATTATAGCAAGTTTTGGGGGGTAAAGGAAGTGTAGCAGCTCAGAGCATTAGATTTGTAACTGAGTTCTGCCTTCAAGGAGGGGAAGTTTTATAACCATAAAAATAGTGGATTACCATAACTGTCTAGGCCAGGCCCATGGAGGTGGTCTCTGCCTCTGTTGACAAGCTGTGGATGCATGGTCATCGGTCTGTCACCAAAGCCAGCCTTGACATGCACCACTGAAGTCAACTGGGTAGTGCCACTGAGTTCAACGGGAGCAGAAACAGGTCAGATGAGGTCAGAACCATGTGCTGTGCATCTCATGACAATACGCTAACTAATCCATTCTAAACTTTGTTTCAGTTATTTTCACAGTTGGTGAAAAGTTGAAACTCACAGCTATTACCACTGTGTATTCAGCAACAGCAATTTCTCATTGATTCATAGAATTGTAGAATGGTTTGGGTTGGAAGGGACCTTAAAGATCATCTAGTTCCAACCCCCCTGCCATAGGCAGGGACACTTTCCCCTAGACCAGGGTGCTCAAAGCCTCATCCCGCCTGGCCTTCAGGGCCCCATCCAGCCTGGTCTTGAATGCCCCCGAGGGCGCGCCATCCACAACTTCTCTGGGCAAAAAAAAAAAAAAAATGTAAAGAAAAAATATAATCTGAGCAGTTGAGAAATTGAAATCACATCTACACATGCTGATAGTCTGTGGTCCTTCCAAAAAATAAGGGGAAAAATTACAGAATTGCTAAAAATCTGGTGCATCACCACCAGCTTGCAGTCAAGTTGTCCTCAGACAAGGAACCAGACAGTTACTCAGTTTCTTCATTCCCACTTTGCTCTTGGAAGAAGTGGTGACAGGTTTTCACTGTACATTTATTAATTCCCTCTTTCTTTGCTGCCCAGATGCTTAGCCAACCCTACGAAGTGGAAGAAGCCTCAGTGCCACTCCCAGTTTGAATGCAAAGAGCATGGTAGACGCTTAGGTAAGTAAGGTCCCTTACAATGCCAACAACTTTAAAAATATTGTAATGTCCCTCATTCAAATGTGATGTTAATGTTGGAAATTTTTGATTTAAAAAGAAAAGGAAAGTTTTCAAGTGATTTTCATAGTGTATTAATTTCTCATTTACATAAAAATTAACATATTATTAGAAACATATATTCATATATGACCTGCATGAATAATCACTTCATTGAGCACTGACCCCAAGGTGCTGGTATGGTGCACACACAGAGAGCCCTTCTTCAGGGGTAGGGTAGAGTGCCAGTGAGGAATCAGGAGGAAGCATTGATTAAAAGGAATAAACTTGTAAGAAAACAGGATACAAGCACAAGTACCAGAGGACAGCAAATCTGCAAACTGCTCAATGCAAGGATCATCTGTGTGAAGCAGTTTGCAAAGCCATCACCTCTAACTTCCTCAAAAGGGAAGAATTAAGGATGAAATGAAAGAAAAGGTTCTTCTGGCAGCCCACTCGTACACGCTGATGCAGCATATTTAAACTTTAATTCTGCCATTGATTTGGACAAACACACAGGAGTAGTTGTATTTCACATTTTGCATACAAAAAAAAAGTGTTTAATAATAAAGCAAACTGAAGACCCATGTAGAAAGTTCATGTGTAGGAACTACAGACAGTCATTTAATCTAGCCTATAATTAAGATCTCTAAAACCAGACTTGGCCAAGAATTTGTCTCTTTCAAGGTTTGCCCCGTATACACTGAAGAATAACTTCAAATAAGGTCTCAGAGAAAACATAACTACCAGAGAGAGCAATTTTTCAAAATTTTGGTTTTGTCTTCTGCCACAAGCAGCTGCAGGCTGTGACCTGCTCTACTGGTCAGCGCAGAGAAAAAAAAAAAAAAAAAAAAAGGAACCATGAACTCTTCCCTGGATTTTGTTTAACTTGGAAAGAATCTGGAAGGATTTACTTTGAACTTGAGCGTCAACCACAAAAACTTCCTTGTGTTTTTTGGCTGCTGACAGGGTAAGATGTTCTTTTAACCTTTTGTGTGTGCAGCCAGCTGACTAGAGCTCAGACCATGCTCCCTTTTCAAGGGATTGTCAGGAAAAGTATCACATTGCTTATGTCTCCTTCCTAGTCAGCTTTTATCTTATCTGAGAGGATGGGAAATTATTGATAACAAGTTACCCTAAGAGCTGTCTAAATTCAGGATCGAACAACAGATACCACTGGCCTAATGAGGGAGATGTTGGAGTCTCCTCCCAAAACTGCATCTTTTAATATCTCTGCACATGGTGCATTAAGCTAGACAAAGATTTTTTAAGTTTGATGACTAATTCTTTTCAAGCGCTCAAAGCCCGATGGGCTGCACTAGAAAGACAAAACACTTTCCACCACATTTTAAGTAAGCATTTTTTCAGTAGGGCTCAGCATGGCCTGTACGCTCACTGACTCCGTCACCTCAAGAGGAAGAGTTACACCAAGCACAGATACTTGGAATATCGCACCCTACGAACTGTGAAGCTTTCTTGAAGTGAGACTTTCACAGGATTTATTTTAAAGATGTTTTAAAGACAATAAAATCTTAAAAGAACAGAACCAAATTATTTGTCTGCATGATAGAGAGTAGGTCATACTATTACACTTCATGAGAGCTAGACTAAAGTATACTGAAGAAAGAACAGGAACTCAGTAATCAGATTTTTCACTGGAGATATGATGAACCATGTCATTCTCAGGATGAATATGATGCAAACTCAGTCAAGTCAAAAGGAAGATCCTGCCTGATCGAATTTCCCTAGGGTAGTAACATTTCTGCCTCCTGGAAGTTTAAGGAAATATTTTTTTATGACGATCATGGAGTCCTGGTTTTACAAAGATTACTTCTAGTATTATTAAGCAGCGTATTACTTTTCGATTTAATAATTTTTTTTCAATGAGCATGATTTCTTGTTTTTCAAACTGAAGTGGCAACATTAACCTTGGTCTGGCAACTATTGGTACAATCCTATTCTTCCGACACTAACCACTTTGAAGAGAAAAAGAGAGCACATCAAAACCCTCAAAAGGCTTCTCCAGATAAGGAAAAAAAAAATACAGTCTGCAACTCAGAGAAAAGAGTTCAGAGAACTTGAAGAGACCCCTTTCAGACACAGACGATAACTCACAGTGGATAATCTATATAACCTCTGCAGGGCTCACGATGACCTATATAGAAAAAACATAAACAGGTTTCCCTGCCTCAGAGAAGCACTGTGAGGCACTGTAGGCTACTGCTTGCAAAATATTTTATCTCCTTGACAAAAAGTGCTGCAGAATTGCAAAATCTAATAATTTTCATCCCACTACTAATAATTGTTTGGGCACAACGAGCTGCAGCTTGAGGTTTTCATCCTCCAAACAGCAGCACTAAGTAATTGCTGCTGCTCTGAGCAACAGCAGGTAGCACTGAACAAAACCTCATTTTAGCAAGAGTGCAGCTAAGCAACCACAGGTGGGCTTTCAAATAAGAGCTTTCCACACAGTGAAATTGTGCACTGCTGCACACTAAAGGCGTTTTTCTCACTCAGTACGTCAGATTGGATGACATTGTCCACACTCAGAGGACAGATCAAAAAACTGATCAAGCAGTGCCTCAGGACATACCAGGGTGTGTGTCAGCCTTCCAAGAAATGTGTGTCCTCCAAAATTTTCTCTCAGAGATCACGTTAGGGAGGCTCGAGCCTGGTTCTGTTCCTGTTTATACCAGTGAAATTCAGCTGGCTTTGGACAGAAATGTTTCTGAATGCATTAGGGCCCAACGAAGAGTCCTTAGTTATTCTTCCAAAGGCAATGAGTGCCTGCAATTAATTTGAGTTTGCACGCCAGACCTGTTCATAAGTCTGGTTCTTGCACAGGGTCACTTTCTTTTCTGTAATGGTTACAATGGCAACAAGAACTGTTTTGCCTCATTAAATCAAACAGTACATGAGAGTCAAGGAACAGGCACTGAAAATGTTTGGCATTCATCATTCATGTTTCCTCCCCACTTGTATTGTTACTAGAGAGGACAGACTCAGGGGAAGATATGTAGCAGTTAAGTGTCTTTTTCTGATATTTAACTAACTAGCTAAAAAAATAGCCTTTGCCTCAAAAGTTCTTGTCGCTTTTCATAACTGTCTCACATCTGCAACATGGAGATTGCTAAAAGTTAATATCCACTGTAAAGAAAATTAATGGCAAGGACACTCGACTCAGTTACTGTTTTGCATTATTTGCTAATAGGTGCAACTATAATGATTTAACCAGCTTATCTGGCATAACTGTTGGTAACGCTAGAAATAATATTATTAAGAACCTCTAAATGTAGGTTAGAAGGTTAGATAACTGATCACCCAATGTTGGATCCAACGTATAAGCTTTTTTTATTTAGCATCACCAAAACAGGGTAAACACTGTGTTTTAGAACAAAGAGACTTGAAAATTATTTCCCTCCCTCATTTTCATTAGAAAATCTAATTCCTTCCCTCCACCCATATGAAAAACACTTAACACTCACTGAAAAAAAGCAAAAAAATAAAAAAAATAAAAAAGAACCCATACCCACTCAGTTCTTAAAACTTACACAGTACATGAAGAAAGCACTTGCACAAAATTAAGACAAATTTTATCCAAGTGGAAGCCATGCTTGCACAGACATAAAAGTGAAACACATCTGAATAAGTCTACAGTATCACAGCACAGTTTTGCATTCCTGGACCTTACCTTTGAAGAAAGGGATGTAATGATGTCTGAATGTAGATGTAGGGCTTGGGTGTTGGGGCAGGGAGATGCAGCTACTGGTACCAAGACTCTGAGTACCAGCTGGGGGCAACAGAGAGTAAGTGAAAATAAACTATTTAGTTCACTTACTGAAAGCCACAAATTACAATGCCATCCTTTTTTTCAGGAACATTTTCCTCCTGATGCTTAGAAAACATTTAGTTCATATTTAAGACTTCATCTTTCTCTGGTTATTGCTAAAAACATCACAGTGGCCATACTGTGTGGTTGGCCAAGGGACATGGGCTCTCTACAGACAGAAAGAGTATCACAAAATGCTGATAATGTAACGCATCAGAAAATATTCCAGAAAAGGCACCACAAAAAGCATAGCTGCACTCAGGGGAAAAATATGCATATTCAAAAGCTGCAAGAGGGAATGATATATGCTCATAATGGATCTAATGAAATGAAATGGGGAGAGCCGTGTCTCTGCTGAGAACTGTGCTATGAGTGGGTCCAGTTCTCACTGCTCTTGGTGCACACTGGTAGGATTTAGTTCTCAACATACCAGGGCACTCAGTGCATGGCTAACTTAAGCATTTGAAGAAGCATCCTGAAGCTATTTAAGCTCTGAAAGTTAGACATATTATTAAGTACTTTGAAAAATGTTCTCAAAAGTCATCTTTGTTTGCTTTGTTGTAATAATGTCCTGATACATTTTGGAGGACTAATGGCAATTAGTAAAAAAGGCAATTATGGTACCTAACTTCTGAACTTCCACAGAAGCTGTAAAACATTAGAATTAATTTGGAATTTCTTTTGTCTTTCTTCCTTGCTTTAACAGTGTGCAGCTAAGCTTAAGCATAACACAGCTGCCTGACCTTCAGCAGAGACTAGTCTTTCCTCTTTTTCATAGATCTTTGATACTCAACCTAATTTCCACTTCGTCAAAGACTTTATGTAGTACAAATATACAATTACTGTAAAAACTGTTTCTGTTATGCATAAAATTTTCATTTCCACTGCAAAGATTAAGATCTCCCAATTTTCCAAAACAGTTTATAATTATAATGTATCCTCAATGAAATTAAAAGACACCAAAAGAATAATAGAAATACTCTGTGTTTTCCAACAAAATAATGGGAAAAAACTAGAATGAATTTTGACCAATTTAGTTGATTATTTCCAAGACTAAAACTCAGTACAAAGCCAAAATATGAACGGGCCTTCATATGGGGCCCCCGTGCACAGATCAAAAGGGAGTGATCCCTCCTCTCTGTGCGACAGGAGCACCAACACAGCTGACACTACAGACCAAAGCTGTGATAAACATTGCTCTAAGCTTCTCAACTAAAGCAACTTGGCTTTCAAAATCCAGCCATTAGAACTACTAGTCACTCCTCCAGCTCTTGCATTGTGGAGAGGAGGCATAGACCGTAACTCTTGCAGTACAAGAAGGGATAAGAAGTCACTCTTATCACCCTCTTGGCTTTGTGTGTCTTTACTGCTACTATGCCACACCGTGAAAGAGCCGCGGATTGAACAGGTAGTTTCATACAGGATGCGACCAGGATTAAGTCCTTTAAACTGTTCTATCTTCAGTTTAAAGATACATAAAATTAATTTTTCCAGGTGCCTGTTTTTGTTTGCTTAGATGCTCATTCCTGAAGCACTTGTGTCCTTTCTCCCCATGGGACTCTCTGTTCACAGTAAATAAGTAACTGCAATGAACTGCAACTCCATCTTAAACGCCTGTCTGCCGGAGTCTACCCTATTTACAACAAAAGACAAAGTAGTGGAAAAATCTAGAGAATAAATAAGGCTGCTTTTCAATTACCTGGTCTGCTGTAATGCTGAGGAGAATGGGAGGTTGGAGTGTAGCGACCGTAGCCCAGCGAGCCAGCAGAGCTAGGACTTGATGTCCTGTACTGCTTGAAGGATCTGTCATCTTGGTCACCCTGAGAGGAAGTGAGGAAATATACATCATTAGGGAAGAGAAATAACTTCTGAAACAGGCAGAATATGCTGGCTTGCATGTTTCTATGGATGTAGGTGGAAGACTATGCTGTCATAACACTCCATGCAATCCCAGTCGAAATAAGGTGGCTTTCAGCCGTAAGCACCACCACCGCTGCATGAGTGCCAGAGGATGGTCATGTTCCCAGGAAAGTCAACAGACACATGAATTTTAAATGATGATATCTGAAAAGAATATAACACTGCAGAAGTGTTCTTTCAGGACAGTGTAATTCCCTGAACATACACAGGTGGGTGGAAGATGAGTTCAGGTTAGCGTGATAGTACTATGGTCACTTTGTACCCATAGGAATGGCTGCATAATGGTTACAGACAACACAAAAATCGGCATTCATTACATCACAGAAATCACTCTGCTGTATAAATTGCCCAGCATACCATATTACAGCATGGTCATTACTAGTTAGGTAACTGATATAAACACTCATATACAGCATTAGCATTAATACTGCAGCATTGTGCAAAGCAAGTCATACAACCCATTTCCCACTAAACCTTGGCTTCAACCACTTAAAACCACATCCACCCATTCCAAACCCCTTGCTCTCTATAGCTAGTTAAATTACAATTGCAATTTGCATTTAGTGTCTTCTTAACAGTAAAAGCATTACTTAGTGAACTAAATGTGGAAACTACTTTTTGTAAACTGCACATACAAGCAAATTCAATTTTTTTTTGTTTCTTTTAAGACAAGTGAGAATTGGCTTGAATTAACTTCAAACTAGAACAAGTCAATATAACCCACAGATGCTCCCTTATGGAAAGTCATACTGCAAAAAATGCTTCCCCTCTCCTATTCCAGCAGGAGTGTGTGAGGATATGCTATATTATAGCAGGTGTTCATCACTTCTCATGAATCCTGAGACATCTCTAGGCATCTGTGTGACTCCGACTGGATCACTCATCATTCAAACACACAGGAGACCCTACTTAGCGCCATCATCATCTCCCAGATTCCTATCAGGACAACTTAATTACATCCATCCATTTAATAACCCTTTTAACCCTTGTAAAGAGAGTTACAAGCAATACAGCGATGTCTAGAAAGTCTTGCAATGATGTTTAAATACCATACGATGTTAGCTAAAGGTCTATGATGTATCCAATTGCATGATACAGTGATACTTTCCTCTAATAAAAATCCCTGCAACAAAACTGGTGCAGATGATGATGCTTGAGCACCTGATCACAGACTCTTTAGAGAAAGACAGCAAGAATGGCAACGTTGGATAACCTAGAGAATTCACATAACGTGAACCATGGCAGCACCAACCTCTATACTAGTGTCACTTCTGGAGTTTAATAGTATGGCTGTTTGCTAACTGATAGCTAATTTAAAGGAAATTATTATAAGCTTCCAAAATACCAAGATTTCATATTAATTATTTCAGACCTTACCTTTTGTGTACATTGTGTCTCTGTAAGGAACAGTCAATCCAGTTCATATTAAATAAAGTACTTTTTTTATTTTTAAACTATCAATTAAATTATATTTGTATTGGTTAACTTCTCTGCTTAACCAATGCTTATAGTGACAGTTGGTGATTTACAATCCTTAATGAAAATTCACAGTTCTCCACTATTACCATAGTTTTGCAGTATAGTTCTCTTAACATAAAATTGGGATAATGGGGGAATTAGCCAGGCCTGTGATATGTAATTGAGTTACTACCTGGGAAGCTATGTGAAATGGTTTCATAGCTTCCAAGGTGATGTTTCTTGAAAAAATGACTGGCTTTGATCATTAATGCACATCAAAAAACACAGACCTAGAAGTTCAGGTATGCGCAAATGATTTAACAGTATGTGTGCACAAATAGCATATACAGTTTGACTATTTGTGGAATAAAAACATAAAAATAAAAATTAAAAAAAGAAGAGAAAGCTATAACAAGCATTAATTCAAGTTAACCCAAGCTGGCAGCTTTAAATGTGAACATAAATTATATTTACAAACATAATTTATTCAGTAGAGCTTGAATAAGTGACCACAATATGACCTTTATTTTGGAAAGCAGAATCACAGATGACAGTGGAGATAGATGCATACAGATGACAATCCAGTAGCAGAGCATGTATTCAACACAAGTAACACTGTGAAAAACATAAAATTATAAAACCCAATGCACTGTAAAGGCAGGAGGCAAACACCACATTTCAGATGCTGCTGGTTATCAGTATGGCCAGGTTTATGCAGCACAAAATGGGTCAGCACAGGAGAACAAAGGCACTGGGGATTACCTCAGTAGGTGTTGGAGGGGGCAACTGAGGTGACTGCAAACAGCAACACACAACAAATTAGTGACACAGATTCATGCATGATGTTACTTGTGAGAAAAACTACTTTTAAAATATCAATATCCATGTATAACACATGACAAGGTTACGAAAAACACCTGTCAGTTAAGTTAGGGCAATTTTTCTTCTTTATTTGTAAAGAAGCAAATGAGGAATAAGATAGAAATAATATCATATAGAGCTTTTGTTCATTTCTTTACTACAAAATCCTGGAGTCTGGTGAGGCCAGCACAGTACCACAGAGAGTGCTGCTAGTCGGGAAACCCACACTTAAAGCAACTGCCTGAAACCAGACACAAGCCTTATTTAAATCTGCATTGAAGCAGCTGGACTAGAACTTTGTTGCTCAGAGCTGGCTGTTTTAAGGGAAAGAAAAATATCTGTATTATTTAATTTTTAACTAAACATCAGGTAATTTGAAAATTTGCTCTTCGTTCATTTTCCTTTCAAAATTAAAGGCTAAACTCAGGTGAGCAGAAATCTACTGAAAGTGCAGCTGCAGGTGCAGCCAGGATGCTGAAATTCAGAAGACAGGACATACAAACTGAGGGACAAGAGACTGGAGAGCAGCCTCACAGAAAGCGATCTGGGGGGTGTGGACTGATAGCAAGTTGAATGTGAGTCAACAATGTGCTCTGGCTCCCAAAAGGGCCAACCATGTCCTGTGTCCTGGGGTACATCAGGCACAGCACAGCCAGCCAGTCAAGGGAGGCAACTGTCCCGCTCTACACTGCACTGGTGGTGGCCCCACCTCCAGTACGGTGCGCAGCTTTGGGCAACCCAGTATAAGAAGGACATCAAACTATTAGACTGTGTCCAGAGGGCAACCAAGATGCTGAAAGGCCTCGAGGGTAAGACTTAAAAGGAGCAGCTGAGGTCACTTGATTTGTTCAACTGGGAGAAGAGAAGGCTGAGGGGTGGCCTCGTGGCAGTCTGCAGCTTCCTCAAGGGGGGCAGCGGAGGAGGAGGGGCTGATCTCCTCTCCCTGGTGATGAGCGACAGGACACGAGGAAATGGAATGAAGCTGTGTCAGGGGAAGTTCAGATTGGACAGTAAGCTTCTTCACAGAGATAGTGGTCAGTCACTGGAACAGGCTCCCCAGGGAAGTGATTACAGCACCAAGCATGTCAGAGTTTAAGAAAGGTCTGGACAATGCTCTTAGTCATATGGTCTATTTTTAGGCAGTTCTGCTAGAGCAGAGAGTTGGAATTGATGATCATTATGGGTCCCTTCTAACTTGAGATATTCTATTATATTTTTTCCCTTGGCAATCTCAAGGATGTAAATATCTGGAACATCATGAAAACGTGCATGTTGGCTTGCAAGCACAGCCCAAAATCTCTTCCTGGTTAGGCACACAGAAACAGATGACTGGACTCCACTTTTTTATTTTTTAAGATATCATTGAGGTCTTGCTGACATAAATGCCTACCTACATCAGCACAGACCTACATGAGACAGCATTAAGCTGGTGACGAAAACACTGTAGATGTCTCCTACAGCACCAAGGGAAAGGGTCCTCATTCATGATGTGGTCCCTTTTATCTTAAGCTATATGTTTACTGAAAAGGACAATGACTCCAGCTGTCCCAACAAACCCCTCCTGTTGTGGTCTCATCACTGAGCTACTCACTACAAGCAGGTGGCAGCAGCAATACCCTCTTTGCTGTGATTTTATTTCTTTGGTCGGTTGGTTATCTTGGAGCTCAACTGCAACTACCATCTATCCCACTCCTGAAAGCGCGATGCTGAGGTTCCCACAGTTCACAGCCACTGGGTCTCACCAAAGGCCAGACTGCCACCAAGATGGGCAGTTTCACCATACCACTAGGCCGCTGTCCTGCACATTGGATCTCCAGCCTTCAAGTGACGGCATGGAGTCAGACCACATGAGGGGTTCAGAAGAAACCTAAGCCCTAGCACAGACAGATGGACACTTGCTCTGGCAAAGGAGCAAGTGGCCAAGGAGATGCTAAGAGCAGGCAGGGGGAAACTGCCTCCAGCAGCAGCAGCACAGATGCTGGGTGTGATGGTTTTACAACCATCACCTCGGAGGGGGTACAAGGAGTGAGTCCTCACAGGAGTGGAAGGTTGTTTAGTCTGTGCACCTCTGTCCAGCCTAGATGTCACCTCTGTCAAGTCGAGATGTAACGGGCAGCTGAGGAGGGCCACAAACATTATCAGCACCCACAAATGTTTATGTAGAAAGGAAATGTTTATACTCCATGGGTTCAGGGCTACTGAGCAGCTTTCAGTTTTGTGAATTCAGAAACCTGAATACCATTTAAACCCTTTACCAGATACAATCTTAATTCTTTTAGCATACATTAAAATAGAGCTACTGTGGTTGAGTATTGTGCAGAGAGGGTTTGGAAAGGAGTCTGCAAAACCTGTGTACTGCACTTTACCTGAGCGTAGTACCAAGATTTTAGTAGTAAAGTTTAAAGGTGTGACAGCAGGACTGGGACTATTATAAACAGTATGGTTATTATTTATAGTATTTATTTCTACCCATTCACTTACACTTAGGGAGAACAATGCTGACTTTCATTCTAGATCACACACATCTTGATAATATACCTAGTATATATAAGAGGTTTGATTTGTAAAAAAGTATCTAAATTTATAAAAGAAATTCAAACTAAGGGTAGATGTGGTTAGAGAAGAAAAGCTAACTTTCATGACGGGGGTTATATACAAAGATGCTTCACAAAAAACAGTATTAGTAAGATTATATTCCATCAGATTTAATTAGCACAAGCTGCGTAATATTAGCTCTGCATATGAATAGATTGAAATGCATGCGTGACATGAGGATGAACTTTAGTAAGGGACAGTTGAAAGAAATATGTGCATAGGAACATGACACCATTGTTGTGTTACCAAAATAACATGGTACACTTCAAACAAACAAAAAAAATAAATGAAAGACATTTGGATTTGCTTCTGATTTTTGCATTATAATTAGCAATGGCTCCTGTTTCCTACCACATGCATGTAGAACTCCTCTCACAGAAAAACATGCTTCAATTACATGTCATCTGTTTAAAAAACAATCATAGAAAGTAATTCTTTAGTCTCCACAAACTAAAAAGTGAAATTAACATCTCACTTGTTTTTGGAAGGCTAAAATGCCTTGTGAATGAATGGATGACATGACTCAGTTAACTGAAGTTATATTTTTTTTTTTAATTATGCACATTTAAGACTTTTTAGGAGCATGTTTCATGATGCACATAAAATCTCAAATTCATAGTAAAAAAAATACCCATGTTTCTGTACCTCCCCATAACTATGCCTGTCATCTGAAGAGTAACTGATATATGGAGAATAGGAGATCATATCTGGGCGGTCAATGTTATAGATGGCTTTATTTTTAGGAAGAGCAGCCAAATCCCTGTAGTCAAGAATTTCATCTCCAAGCTTTGCCTAAGAAAAGGAGGAAAGAAAGCAGTGAGAATAAGAAAGAATATGATCAGGAAGCAATCAGAAAAAGACAGATTCATGCAGGTAGAAAAGCCATCATCACAGTAATAAACCACTTTTTCCTGTTTGTGCGCATTTGAATCTCTAATATTTACTACACAATGCTAAATATTACCTCTGTTTTCTTTCATATACTGGTCCTTTCTATTTGCCTTTGTCATTTGGCTAATAGGAGTAGCCTGGCATGACTTCAGTTCCCTTGGTTATATCCCACTTACTGCTACCTCACAGAGACACATGTGGGACAGACACGGTAGTCTTTTTCAGTCAAAACGCCCTCCATTTTAAAGTGGTTCCCCTACCATAAGCAGTAGTGAATAATCAAGTACATATTTCCAACATATACTGTCCAGATGCTGAAAAAATTAGTCAGGTCTTTAATTTTTTCTATTCAGCTGTGTCCCACAGCTTCACCTCCTTTCCTGACTATGTCTAAGTAGCCCTTAATTATGGGTCACAAACCAGCAGATGATGGATTGGCACCATGGTGGATTAGTTGGAAGATCACAGATGCCACATAAGTAAAGATCAAATCCTTCCATTTGACTCACACAGTCAACAGAGGAAAAGGGCTGTGTTGCTCCCCATTCTTCTCTTAGTACACTTATTTCAAAAGTATAATTATAAAAATGCCACATTTGCACATATCATACTTTGGATAATGGTAATTTGCACCGAAGTTGTATCCAGCACACACTGTCTTGTAGATACGATGACAAGTTGGCCACATTGAGAGCAGAGAAATGAGCAGCATAATCATCTCATTTCCAATTCAGGTTTTGCAGAATGATAAGCTCGTTGTTGGCAACAAAATGATGGGTGAATCTCACTATTCTCTGAAAACCTCAGTATGATTAGCTGTAAACCTGTAGTAATGTTTTCCACATGCAAAAACATGAAAGTATCCAGGATTTATGTGTGCATTGATTATATTTTTTCTTAGTAAGTGCTAAGAAAATTCATTAGGTTTTCCAGGGAAGTTTTCTATTAGCTTATACAGGAAAAATTTAGTGTGACAACTTTCATTTATCCCTTTTTCTAGAACAATGTATGAATTTGTGCAAATGTAAGCAACACGGAAAGGAGGAAGATTCCTCTTAACTAAGAAAGTAGAACAAAGCTGCCATAACCATCACATATTCTCATCCTCAAAATTAATGAAAAAAAAGTAGTTAAATCAAACGTGATTCTTTAGTGATCTAGAGATGTAGCCTTTCTCGCAGGGCCTTTAAGAAGCTAAAGAGCAATGAAATAGCCTCTTAATGAAAATAAATCTCTCCCTACTGAGAAGCCAGTGGCAAGCTCTGATGCAGGGATTGGTCATGCAAAGACAAGGAGGAGTCTGTACACCAGGTGTGTTCCAGGAAAACTCTGGGCAGCACTGTACCTACGAGGGCGGCCAAGGAGGCTGTGACAGTTTCTTTTTTAAGGTACCCCAGGGCTGTGAAGATTATTCTAGTGAACCCAAAGAGGTTCAGAATTGGGAATATTTAAATGTGAATTGTGGTAATTTTAGCCCCTATTTCTCCACGTAGAAGTGCAACTTGAGATCCTCCCACTAGACTTCAGAACTGTCAGGAGTAAAACTTATCTAGTTATGTAATTCCTTTCAGTTTAAATATCAGAATGTAGGCAAATTTGGTTGGAAAAACACCTCAGAGATACAGTTGCTTTCTAAACACTTCATTCTACAAACATTTGGCCTACACCAATTTTTATTTTATTTGTTTGTACTTTAAAATACATGAGTGTAATTCACATATGCTAGGGAAGGCTGAAATTGCAGCCAAGAGGCTTTAAGCCATTTCTTCAATAATCTGGTATTTTGGACTCTGTTAAAACCATAGGTTTAGAGTATCTATTTCATTTGTAGTATGCAATTTTACAATTGTATAATTGCAAATATGATCTGTATAAAAATACAATGTGATTTCTATTCCTAGGATGAGAAGATACAACACAGCCATGTAACTTAACCTAAACCTTCCAGTTGGATGTATCTTTGCAGGGAGCATTTAATTCTCTCTTCATAAAATTTATCCAAGTACAAGGAAGGACTTTTATTTAAACCCTATTTAATAGCATAAGTTAGAAATTAACTGATTTTTAAGTAGTATTTAGGGACTTGGAGGGAGCGTCAGCACTGGGGTAAATTTCAGTCTGGATATAATGAAGCCATCACCAAAGATCATGAAAAGATGCCCATTAACTTCATAGGGCATAGGCCTATGCCCTCTCTCAGTGCAGGAAGACACCAAAGTGATAACAACAGATGAAGAAAAAGTAGTACAGCTTTAGTAAACCACCTGTACGAACCATGTTCAGGTTTAGTCAAAACATGTTTTGTTTTTTTCCTTCCCTAACCGACCACTCAATCGTGATTCAGGAACATGTCTCCCATGAGACAGCACACTGTTCAGAATAATTGCGTTGCTCTGACTTGATGTCTTTGAAAGTACAAGCACCATGAATTCACGGTCACTAAGCTTCAACGGTTTTCTCTAAATTCTCTTTTATTCAACACAGTACTTCACAGAGCTCACCAGTTCTTAAGGTAAACTTTCATTATTGGTTTTAATGATACAAATCAATGCTACTGCTGAAAGTGGCTGCCCTGTGTGCACCTTCCCATTCTGCTCTGCCTTCTACATTAGTATTAGATGTAGATGGTCAGCTCTTTTTTTGCCTCTTTGGTTGTCTGGAGGTTTTTCCTGGGTTATTTTTTAGCTGAATCTGGTCTGACTTATCATACCTTTGTGTACCCATTAGTACTAGCGTCAAGGAAAAGACAGGAAGACATGCCTGGAGAGGGACAGGTACACATGTGAGTGTGACCTTCCTTTCAGTGACAGCATGAATTTAGGTTTAGTAAAACCAACCATGAAAACACCCAAGAAAAATTTTGAGCATCTCTGTATGTCATAATACTCCTGTAATAGAAAACAGATGCAAAAGATAGCCAAAGAATCATTTTGATAATATAGAAGTCCAATAACATGTTTTTAATTCTTTTTATTTTCCTGTTCATGAAAGCTAAAATTGGATTTAATCAATCTCACAGCTTGGACAATTAAGCAGTCAGAGATGAGACAGATATAGCAAGAACTTGCATGCCTCTGGGGAATGTTTTTTTCCTAACTGACTCATATTTGCTAGAAAACTTTATTCTTTCACAGTCCCAGCTGCTCCTGAAGTATATTACAGTAACAAACACTAGAGTTGTGTGCTGATTTTATTATATCCTTTGAAAAAAAACACAAAAAGAGAATGGAGGTTTGTCCTTGACTTTTAACAGCCTGTGAAGCATATTTAAAGCTATAATCACAAATATCATGAAAAACAGTACCACCCAACAGTTAGATAAATGTCACCAAGAACATATAAATCTTAAAAGAATGTTCATGCATATAAAAACAATAAAGTGATGTATGGCTGGAGAGATACAGACCATCTGGCCAAAGAAAGTGCTTACATGATAAGAAGTTCTTAGTGTAATGAATGGTCTTCGTAGCAGTTGAGGCAATGACATTTTTTTTTTTACTAGGAAAATACCACTGGTATCCAGCAGCATGGAGCTCTGCTGGAAGGAGAACTCAGAAACACCGATGAGCATTTAGATAAGGGACAGTTCCTCCACTTCTAGTTTAGTCTTACTCAGATAAAGGGTATATTATATTCAAAATAATTTTCACTTGAAGAAAGAAGACAAGTTCGGCTCCAAGGCACTCTTTTGCTTGTTTCAATATAGCAGATAAAAGCCCTTAAATATTTGTATAATAACTCTCCAGTAGTCAATTGCATCTCCAGCAATTTTCTCTGCATATGGTCCTATCCAATGAGAACAACCTGCCTACCTGATGGATACCTGGACAGGACAAAGAATATCCCTGGGAATACTGAAGTTCTCCAAGAGATGTTTGTATGGAACATGCCACACTTGTGGATTTTTTTAGCTATTGGTAGTAGCCTTGAGAATTGGGCCATGAACACGAGCTACAGCAATTATGACAAGCAAAGTACACCTGGTATTGAAAAAAATACTCAGCCTAAGCTTTTATCATAGTTGTTATTTTAAAGTCTCTCTATGAGCTTTCCAGAGCTAGCACTTCTTAGACCATAAACACATCAAAGGTCCTCTGAGGTTAGGGGCTGGCACTTGTCAGGGCCCAAGTCCCACAGTCACACACACAAGTGTTTTCATAAGCAATCAGATGCAGGCTCAAGAGCTCGATTTAGAAAAGTTGTGTTCAGATCTAGGCTTGTAATCTACCTGTGGGCTGTACTGTTTACTTAACTGTTTTCTTTTTAGAAAGTACTGTGGTATTTTGCACGCTTTTGTATACGCCAGCTCTAATGGTAATGTAAGTGCTATAAATACACCACAAAAAAATACCAGGAAACTGCCAGAATTCTGTTATGGTAAATGTAGTACTCAAACATTTTAAAAGTGAGAAACTAAATTCTGTTTTAGAGGAGTCACCAACTGCAGTGGTTTGGAGACACCAGCTTTCACACAATGTGCTACACTGTAGGAGGAAGAATGGGGTTTTCCCCGTCCCTCAGAGGAATTTCACCACGAAATACTCACATAGATCACACGGCTTGGGGAACCTGATGTACTTGAAGCAGGTACAGAAATAATACTCTCAGATGAAGTCCTCGTTTCCTATCGCAGGAGAAGTGCAAAAGAAAAAGATGAGAGGGACAGAAAATGTAACTGTTACTTCAGAAAGAGTAAAAAAAAATTTAGCATCTACCACTCAAAAATGGCATATTACAGCAAGCTCAAAACATACAGGAATACCAAAGAGTTACAAATAAAAGAACACCTTTAGTCAATCAAACTGACCTTTGGAAAGGCAGAAATTATTTTACATATGGCTTTCCCCTCCCTTCAGAATAAAATGGCCTGGAGCACTTCTGGGCTGCCACGACAGCCTTTGGGCACTATCAGGGACAGGTCAAGTTACAGCAGGTCACAAGACGATATGGCAACAGCATTTTTACTCTAAGGTTATACCATCAAACCAATCTACATTGCTTCTGGAACATGTCACACTACCATGCCATTCACCCATAGCAAACAGCACGACACCCTGCAGAGCATCCTGAACCAGTCACCCAAGAGGTTAGCTTTCCCCTCTCCGATTGCAACACTATCAGATTAATTGTAATACTCAACTGGTTTTGCTCTGTTTTCAATCATGCTGGCATTCAGAATGTCAGACCTTTACTGCTTTCTTTTTGGTAGGTTCCTTTATGATGAAGAATTTAATTACTTTTAAATAACAAAAGGTTGTGAGACACAATGCTATTAACCATGAGCAAACAGAACTGACATTCATAACTGAAGTTTAACCAAGTGTTACTATAAAATCAAGGGGTTTATACCCTCTTTTACCCAGATATGTTAATTCATCATAAAATACTCTTTCCTATCCATGGAAAAATCTGTTCCTGTTTGCAAAAAGTATGTATGTTTCCATGTGCTCTGAATGACTGCCACTTACTGTCTCACCAAAGGCTGGCACTTCTCAACTGGAGGTTACTACTGTTCAGACCCTTAAAAGGATTTTAAGGATTTTTTTTATTAAGTTGTCAGGTCAAGGAAGCATCCTTCCTCCTACTCCAGTCTTTGCTTGAAATATTTACTAGCTTTCAGACGCAATATGTGATTATATCTGTACTGCACTGTGTTCACAGAGCAAACAAACTCAATGATCACAACTATCCTTCCACAGACTTTCTTCAGCAAAATAGTCCTACGGAGTTCTCCGAGACAGTATGTGGAGATACTTATCCATATAAAAAAGATTCAGCTTCATTGTTTTGGCATGTCTGACTGGGATTTGGGAATTTTCTCCCTCTCATTTTCAGTTGTCTCACACTGAGGCTCTGGACAAGCTCAGAAGGACCAAGGGGACAAGGCAAACACTGGCATGGAAATAGAGTATTCTCTGAGAAATACTTATGGCTGCCATTGAAATAATCATTCAATGTGCACAGTGTAATTGCACTGAGCTTCTGCATAGTTGAAGCATATTCCAACTTTCTAGAACTTGTGTAAGTGACATGAAAGTGTAATCAGTGCATGTCCCTACAGAAGTTCCAATGCAGTAGAGAAAAAAAAAAATGAATAAAACTTAACTATTTCAATGTTTTAAACCCTGTTGAAGTCAAGTGACAATTTTGGACTAACCTCAGGGCTCCCTAGATAAAGCTTCAGAGCTTCTTTCTGTGTCATGTGCACCACTGGAGTATGTTTTAAGATCACTCAGTGTAGCATGACCTTAAAACACATAACATACCTGGGCTGAATATATTTAATATATCTTAATAAATTCCTGGAGTGTTTTCAGGGCTTTCCTCAACTTAGAGTTGCCATCTTGTTTTTAAGAAGAACTACAATTCATTAAATTTTCTAACTTTTGCAATCAAAGTATAGAGTGTCATCTTTCTAAGGTACTTCTGCAGATTGCTTCCGTGCTTCCTTACGCTATTCAGTTACTCCCACAAATTGTCCTATTTCTCCTCCTGATGATTGAAACCTGCTCATTCCACATGTCACACATGTTCTTTATTCTCTTCATGTTCCAGTAACCCTTTTAGCACCCCCAGTCCATGAGTGCTGCACATAATCTCCTCGTTTTTGCAACAAAAACTCATGTCTCAGTTGATTCCATTGCTTCTGTTCAGTTCCTTTCTCCATACTACATACTTTTATTCTCCCTCCACCTACCTCTTTTTCCTTTATGCCTTTTGATAATCCTGTTCTTTCTCTTGCTACTTTGATTTCTTCTGTCTCTTCCAGCTTCATACCTTCTGCTTACAATCTCACTCTCCCTTCATTTTTCTTTTTGCTGTCACTCTCTTTCACAACTTCCTTTTCCCTTCCACTCCATCTCCAAAGTTTTGAAGTGTGCTGACACTTACTCCTTCTGCCTTTGTCACCTACTTTTATTACATGCTGGGCATATATCTATACATAGAAAGATAACTTCTAAAAACAACAAACTGCAAATCTTGACGAGAAAATTTCTCAACAGTATATCCCACCCCCAACATTGCAAGTTATGTTGAAAAGTCCATTACTACCCTCTTTGAAACAGCATCCTTTCTTCTTGGTTTATGTGTTCAGTAATGAGCGTAAAGACCAAAATAAAGACAAAAAACCTGACGAAAAGGAAAAATGACTAGACCTGGAAAAATTTGTTGAGCTCCATTCTGTTTTTTTTCCCTACTCAGGCAAAATTCCCACTGACTTTCAGATACAGATGTCTTCTCCTCTGCTGGGGAAGGGACAGACTCCCAGTGCTCAGGAGAGATGTGTTACAAATGAGTCAGCCTTTGTACAGTATCTTACAAGTACCCTTTCCTTGCCTTTGTGAGGAAAAGGCAGCCAGTGGGAAGCCTCATCCACTGTCTTTCTTTGAAGAAGGAAAAGAAAAAAAAAAAAGCTATTACATTTTCAATAAATTATATAGGGTTCTAGCCCTGCAATTTCAGTTACTCAGACAGAATAAAATCCTCAGGAAGCCTGAAATACTGCTTAATAGTATTAGGCTGAATCAGCAGCACTTATTAAAGTATTTTGACAATTTTAAATGCACACATATTAAACAACACATTTTATACTGAAACACTACTTATGTGATATTCAGAGCTCACCATGAAGAATACCAGAACAATTGCTTCCCAAACCCAAGGGTACAAAAAATACAGCCAAGATCCTTTAGGGTAAAGCTCAAACCAAATTTTTTTCAAAACTGTAATTTAGTCAAAGATGCACTTGCTAGCACTTCAGATTTGTAAACACTCTTTTTATAGCTGCTGCCCGCTGTTCGGACTTGTCCCATGTGCCTTGTCTCCCAACCTTGATGAATCAAAGCTGAGCTTTTTCAAACAAGGATACCAGGGTACAAGGATACAAGGATATCACTTAAGCATCAGAAAATAGCAGAACTGGAAAACCCCATACTTGGCCTTCGCATTAAATGAGATAGTTGCATCTCAGTCCCACCACTTCAGAGGGATCATTTCCCCAGTTACAGACTAATTCTTCATTTCCTAGGGGCAGCTTATTCATCTGCTAACCTTGTAATTATTAAAATTGCCAGAACTCCCCCCTTTTTCCCCTTGCACACAGACAGATACACAAATCATCCAACTTAAGGAGGTACTTAAACCCAGAAATTAAATTAAGTTGGGGTTGGCTTGCCAACATTTCACAAACAAAGAAGAAATTCCAAAGAGAGATTTTTTTTTTTTTTGCAAAAACAAATAAAGTGAAAGTCCTCTGATCTTTTAAGTGCCAAGCCACATAAAAAAGAGAAGAGGTCATGCACTGATCACATCATAATCAGACAGAAGTTAAAAATTAAGGGGTTTTTCCTTATTCATATTTTCACATTTTACATTTTTCCTTATTCATCTTACACATATAACTCTTAGGTCAGCATTCTCCTGAAGCTGTAGCTTGAATCACTAAGTAAAAGCACAGTATTTATATTACATTATTACATTACATTAACCTACTAGATTTCTTTCTTTCAAAATTTAAAATTACAGTAGAGAAAAAATTCCAAATCTTTGCATCCATGCCTGCTGCAAAAAAAAAAAGGGATAGAGAATAAGATGACAATGGAACAACACAAGGTAAAAATAAGGTATTTTTACCTTGTTTTTTTCTTCAGCCTTTGCAGCTTGTCTACAAACCGGATGCCAAATGGATGTACCTGGAAAGTATAGTTAGAGTTCTGCTTAGTTCAGTTCCCCAATGCTGTGGTTTAACCCCAGCTACCAGTAAGCATCACAGAGCTGCTTGCTCACTCCTCCCTGGCAGGATGGGGGAGAGAAGTGGAAGAGTAAAAGTGAGAAAACTCATGGGTTGAGATAAAGACAGTTTAATAGGTAAAGCAAACCTGCATGTGCAAGCAAAGCAAAACAAAGAATTCATTCACTACTGCCTGTCGGCAGGCAGGTGTTTAGCCATTTCCAGGAAAGCAGGGCTGCACAATGTGTAATGGAGCTCCTCCAGCCCAATCTCCTGCTCAGAGCAAGTCCCATTAGAGCAGGCAGCTCAGGGCTGTGCCCAGTTGGGTTCTGCATATCTCCAAGGATGGAGATCCCACAGAATCTTTGGGCAATCTGTTCCACTCTCATGGTAATTTTTTTTCCCTTTTACGTAATCAGAATTCCCTGTACTCTTACTATACCTACTCTCATAATAGTTTGGCCCAGTTCATACTAAGTGGCACACTGGGATGGGATGGAATGGTATAGTGTTGTGGCATTCAACACTAGCTGAAAATCCAGTCTTTCTTTCTGAATTACTCATTGTACTGACCCTGCACTTCCTACATGTTTGTCTCTTATACCTAAAATACTAAGGAATTGCATTAATTCAGGGGAATATCCATCCTAGAGGAAGCAGTAAATACAGAATAAATGAATTCGGTACTGCACGTAAGTACTGAAGAGAGCATTATCAACTCCAGAGATACAAGCAAACACAATTGTGAGCATCAGTCACAAAGGAAAAAAACCTATTAAAAAGTTGAATATAGTGTACAATACTCAGTGCTCAATAGAAGTGGAATGTGTGTAACTATATAAAATAAAAAAATTGTTTGTAAATTCTAATAGTAAAATAGTTTATGCCAGTCTGAGCTCAGACAAGCTAAAGCTCTGCATAGTTAAATAATATGAATGCACTCCAACTTCTGCCTGACTAAATGGGAAGCTGAGAACTTTTGTGTTATAAATATTTAATGGTGAGCACCAAGAAGATTTATTGGAAATGCTTTGTTTTCACAGCAGCTTGATAGTTTTCTAACCAGTGGATTTTGGAAACAAGATAGAAACAAGAAGTCTATTTCCCAGAAGACAGATGGAGATAATTAGAATTTATTTCACAAAAACAACCCAGACGAACCCTGACTCAAGCAGAAAGACTATCTATAAGTACAGACTGGATAAATTATGTTTACTAAGCCACTGAAGTTTTTTGGGACTGAACCACTAAGAAACATCTTTACAGCACCTTTAAATTCAATGCTAATTCATCTTCCAATTATGAGTGGGTCTGAGCTTGCCCACTGAAAGCATTTGTCCCAACTGCTGCATAAGTTGATGTAAATCTTCCCAAAGGTTTTAAGAAGTATTTAGATCAACTTTTTTTTTTTTTTTTTTTTTTTTTTAATTACTCCTATTTGTGGTCAAGCAAAACAGGCTGGGAAACTTTTTCACACAGAAGAAGGAGAGTCCTTTCACCCAGAAGTCAACTGCTAGGTGACCACTCATTACTCTATTTCTGCTAAGGAACATGCAACACCTAAAGGAACTTTACAGTAGTTTATTAAGAGGATGAAGAACAAGTTATAAAACCCTGGGCTCTAACATTTTTTATTATCTAAAACACATCAGGTCAGGCAGTTCAATACTTAATCACAGATTTTTCATTAAGTTAACACTAGTTTCTAATGGAAACCACTCTTCATGTGAAGACAAAAAGTGTATGATTGTAAGCTGATATGAATGTTTCATGCGTCAGAAAATAAAGTGAACAAGATGGGTCCAAATTAACAGGACCTATCCATTCTTTGTGATTACTTGAATTAAAAATCAGCACAAAACCTAACGAATATCCACCCTTAGAACAAACTGAACTGAAAAAGAAGATTCACTGCAACTCAGTTTCAGAGAGTTTGAAATCCAGAAACAAACTTGTAGTTTGATATCCTTTTTAAAGCATTGATTTCCCAGGGGATTTTAGCACTGCTACGCTACTTCGCAATCAGAAGAACCGCAGCATTTTCTGGCTCCTGAGGGAGAATCCATGAGCACAGACAAGGATCATTATGTCCTTTAATGAGCTAGTTCTTGTTGTAAACCAAACCGTCAATAAAATTGTCATTTTAAATAACATATTAAACTATAATTAGATCTGAGACCACTGTTGTGTTTTAAATAAAGTCTAACTTTTCCAGCTTAATGAATGATTTCAAAGTACATTTCTAGAAAACTGTGGACAATTGCAAAGCTGTAATACAGAACTGGGCAAGCATGTGATTTTAGGATAACACACCAGCCTTGCAGTTCCCACATCCTACTGAGTTTCTCCTTTCTGTTTTCCTTTGAAAAGATGCTGCCAGTCAAAGACATAAGCAAAAGCCTTCATTTTCTCTGGTGTCTGACCCTGTATTTAACTGTGTAGACACTCTTTTCTTTGATCAGTTTAGTACAGCTAAAAGTTGCTACACATGAAATACAGATTTTAGCATATATCTATGTTAAATAACCTTTTTTATTGTGCAAGTTGTTCTCTATTATCACTGAAATTCCTTGACAAGAAAGATTGAATTTGTCCCTGCATAGCTTTCTCCTACGTGATGCAAGCTTACGGCTGCATAAAACAGAGGCACACTGTCTGGTAAGGGCTTCAGCTCCATGGCAGCCTCTTCTCCACCCTCTGAGGATGCTCAGGGCTGACTGACCTGAGGGCAACTCAGGTAAGGACCTCCAGATTTTCTTCTTGTACCTAAATGGGCAATGGGTACAGAACTGGACTTAGGACTGTAACAGCAGCTTTAGGGTACCTGCTGTCCCCTATGTGTAACTTTCATCTGGATCATTTCTTACTGCAGAAAAATCAGTTTTTCATTAAATGGAAAATCTTATAATCTTCACTGTCAAGTACTTCCATCTGCAGGAAATAACTACTTCCACTCATCCTTTCTATGATTCACACTTGCTATTGGATTCGAACCAAGAGAGAAGTAACAGTGAGTAAGAAGTAACAAAGGTTTGTTTTTGCTTTTCCTTAGCCTACACACTGCATTCTTCACTTTCTTTGGTAGCTCTGAAGTGACAATATGTGCAAAACAGCTCAGCTACGCTACTAGGTACGGGCAAGAGGGCCATGCTGCCAAGTGTAATTCGTTTGGTTTTGGAGGTTTTGTTTGTTTTTTTGTTTTTACCTTGAAGATACATTTCTTCTCCTTCTGCAAACATCTGACTGCACCTGACACATCGTGCGCACGTTGGGTGATAATGTTTTTCTCCTGCCTGTTTGGGGAAAAAGGTACAGATGATTAAGTACACTCATCGATTTAGTAGCTTCACTGTGAGGAGTTTTTCTTTCATTTTCTAGAATATGACTAATTAGAATAAATTATTTAATGCCAGTTAGCTCAACAATCTCCTACAACCACCATACTTACTTTTGATTGTAGGCAATTCATGATTTAAAATGTAATTATGGTCTTGTATACACATAAAAAATTAACGTGCAATAGTTAAGTCTCTGAATTTACAGAATGGAAACAATTCTACATAGCAAACACATTTTCCCTGTAAACAACCATCCTGTTCACCAAGTGCAAGGTAGCTTAGGACTCATCTGCAGAAGGAAGTTGGGAGGTCAGAACCTTGAGTGGGCATTTGTAGTTCACTGTATGTTCATGATCCTACTGAACACATACTCTCAATGCACAACAAGAACCATCTTGTCCAAGGAATGTCTGCATATGCTTGAAAGTAGTTTGCAGGCAATGGGTACTAAAGGGCTTCCATGAAGAATGTGTGTGGCATGCCTACAGGACTGTAAATTCAGAGTTGCCACTTTTGGGTACTGTGCATTAAATCCCTCACACAGACAAGCCAGGAGCTTTGACAGTTGTTCTGAGATTAATCCTCATAACTTAATACCACTATTTTCATTGATTGGAATGAGAATAGTAGAGTCCTAAATTTGCTCAGAACAGCTCAGTAACTTATCAATTTTCATAAATTTAAACTTCCAATTACCTTATATCCCCATTAATCTAAACTGTTTCACAATTGACCTCAGTGTGTTTCCCAAGAGGAGGGTGAAGTTAACCTCAAATGACTATCAGAAAGAAAGTCATGATTCCTGGATCATGATATTTACACAGGACTCAATTTTGGTAGCTTGGCCAAAATTCAATTCTATGGTTGACTATGGGCAAACTTGTTAGCTCTGGTTCCCACAGGCAAGCACAGAAGCACGACAAGGCAGTGCTGGCTTGAGCCAGTGACAAAAACAGCATTCATGGAGTTGTGCCCTTCTGAATGAACGGCATAGGCCAGCCTCTCCAAACTGCACCTCTACCCCATCTTTCAGATGAAACTCACAAAACAGAGTTCAACAGCCCAAAGCCGGCTCTTGCACATAATCCCAGCACTCCTCACTCTTCAAAACCCTTATAGAACTGAAAGACAGATCTTGGCATCTCCTTCCTCCTCTTTGACCCCACACCCTTCCGTGATAGAATGGCCCACGGTTTAAGGGGCTTAAGGTCAGTGACACTCCCATTACAAACAAAGGCCAGGAGACCAAGTAACTCTAAAGCTTAGAACTAAATTAAACTAAGCTAAGTCTGACTTCAGTAGAAATTCCCCTGGAGTTAAAAATAGGCAAATTTTGGCCCATGTAGAATGTATGGAAAAGGTTAAAAGGGCATTGCATGTACATTTAAGAAATTACTATCAAGTATTGCCCCACTGTCTTCAGCATGTAAACATGTTCTCACAGCATTGCACTATAAATCCCTCTTCTATTAATCTAGAAATTTAACACTGTTACTACAGGGATGACTTGTCTTACTCTTTTTCATTGACTGTCAAAGCCTTCAGAAGTATTTATACTAAAGAACATAATCCGTGTCTGGGGGCTATTTTGCCATTCACAATATCAAATACAGGATCATGATAAATTTAGGTTAAAGAATCTCTGGTTTTACTTCACCAGTGTTAACCTGGTTCACCCCTGAAAACCTGTTGCTGTATTTTAAATCAGGAATAAGGAAGAGCAACACATCCCATCTGAATTGCTATTTTGAAAACAGCTTTGTTCCAGTTCACTCTTCTTTTTTTGGTGTCATTTGTGCAGACTGCTGGGTGATTTCTGCAGCTTTAGACATGGAAGACAGTTACTACTACCTGTGTCAACACCTTAAAGCATCATACCTTGAAGTATCAGTACTGGGCTTAAATCTCAAGTCTAAAATTGCTTGACTGAGGGCAGGTGCTTAGGCACAGAAGGTTATTTAACTATCAAGAGATAAACTTAAATTTGGAATATCAAGCTGAAAAGGAACATAATTTCCCTGGGAAGATTTGTACTGCACAAGCATTGCTAATGCAATGCATAGCCTCAATAATTCAATTGTTTTAGCACAGCTGATACAATTCCCAGGCTAACATTCTCCAAGGGAATTCAATTACTCCTTTGCTAAAATAAACTGACAGAACACATTCTCAGATAACCTGGATGCAACACAGAATAAAATCTATATCCCTAAATTTAACAGCACAACCAAATACATCATTTTAATTCACTCTGTAGAGTAAGTAATATCAACTAGCTGTAGAATGGTACAAAGAGACATCTTTTTATAACTTAGATACAATTATAACAAAAATCAGGGGGAAAAGGTGTAGTGACCCTTTTGTTGATGCTCAGACCAGCATAACTCCAATGGATTTTGCATAATTACCTCTGATTTAAAATGGGACATACTCAAACTCTTCATACAATTCTAAGCGCTGACAGTCTTCTTTGTTCCACCTTTTAAATTATTTTTTTATTATGTCTCTCCAAAGCACAGAAGACAAGACATGGTAGACTCTTCATCACTTTAAGTATTTATAACAGATCACATCATCTTTCTAAATGAAAGGTGATAGCTAAATCTGAGGTTAGAGATTTGATGCAGCAATTAACTAATAATACTCCCTGATATGTCTATACAGTTAAGTTGATTAGATATCACAAATTACATATCACAACACACCTGGGTGTGTTGGGTCTCAATGTGAATCATAACCTCACATGGGTGCAGGCCAGGGAGGTTGTCATCAATGGCCCTTTCTCTTCTCTCTTCAGACTGTTTCAGAGGATTCATGTCACAGATGAACAATTGGTTCCCCCAGAACCCAAAAATTTTATAAGCTTAGGGCAGCAACTCTTTTATGTTGTTGGTTTAGTTGTAATGATGGCCTCACTATTTTTTCTTTTCTTGGTTATATTGATTTGAGGGAATTCAATGCAGCAAACAAATTCCTAACCATATGGTTACTACTTCTTTGCACAGTTTGAAAACTCAGTTTGACAGATTGTTGTCTCAGTGTTTAATAAAATATCAACATGCACATAGCACAGAAGAAGTGACATTCATCTTAATGAGATCTCTTATGGTTCAAGTTGTAGATTGTAAGAAACCACCTCAATATCCTACATTTCTTTCAAGACTGCACCAGGTCTTTGTGCCCAGGCATACAGATGTGAAGATAGTATTATTATGAAGATCAATTTAAAGATTAATTCTCAGCTGAGATTTCCTCAAACCTGAAGAGCAAAGCATGTCCTTAGGAACGTAGTACACTACCAACAGTTTCATTTCTCTTCAAGCGACTACACCAGCTTTCCACAGTCACTGAGTCAAAGTTTCAATGTATAATTTAAAGGTGGAGTCAAAACAGTCCTTAACACTCAGAGACAAAGCATTATGAATTACTTCATTCCCTTCAGGTAGGGGAGCCACTCTGAATGGCAAATCTCTGTGCAGCACGAGGAACATTCTTCCAGCAGAGCTGAGGACCTCCCTGCACCCCCTGCCCAAAGCATGGGGGGCACCACAGTGTTGCTGCCTGTCCCCCCAGCACATGGACAAGTAAACCCATGCTTCACTTAAAACAGGACCAGAAAGCTCTGCAACAAAGTACATAGAACCACCTTTTCTCACTTTCCTTACCTTCAGGACTTGGACTAGATAAAAGAAGAATTAACTTGATGCGACAAATATGAATCGCATAATTTAAAGCACAATTTGAAGACAATAAGGGGTGCAATCCTAGAGTCTGCAGAGCAGTATGAACACCGGGCCTGAGAAACATGCAATGCTAGCAAAACTGGAGTAATTAATACTGCAAGGAATAACCTTAACTAGTTAAGGTTGGGTTTTAAATTAGCTGTCATCACTCAGGAAAAAGACACTACATTATTGCAGACAGCTCAGCGAAAACTTCTGCTCATTCTCTGGCTATGGCTGCAATAACTGATGAAGTGGTAGAATATATGAAAGATGATATGTATAATAATTGTAATTCTATCACAATGACACTGTATGTCTGGCCTCTCATGCCATTGCTAGGAGTGTGATTGAGGTCATTTTTTACTGCAGTTGATGAGCGACAACTGCTTATGGATTGACACATGAGGGATTGAACCAGAAGGGCCTAGAGCTCAAAGCATGAGCCGAGTCCTGGAAAGCCAAGTCAGGATTTCTGATGAATCTCTCACCAGTGAAGTCTAAGTACATCCTATCTCACTGCATTACTCACTTAGTAAAGTAGCTAGCAAAGGGAAGAAAGAAAGTAGACAAAAATCATTTAATGTGTTAAATAAACCTGTAACTATTTGGTTCCTTTTCTCAGAATGAGTTTTCAGTATTTTTCCTGTAAAAAAAATAATTAAAAAAATCTATCTTATTATCAAAATGCACAGTGGTAAGTGACAACTTTTACTGCTGGTAGCAAAGAGTTTGTGGAAATGAGAAAAGGCTGGAGTGCTGCAATGATTCAATTTTCCATTTTAAGGGTATAACACTATATAGGTTGCTGTAACGGTACATTATTACCACTGAGTGTTATTTATTGAGGTAGGGCCAAATCCTGCCATCCTCATATTCTAAAATCACCAAACGAAGTCCTAACTGTATCCTACCCTGAACAAAGACAATGGAAGTCAGCCTACGCAACACTGAGCCTGCTGGTATGCCAAGGTACGGTGCAGTTGCATGACCCAGAAACCAAACCCACAGAAGACTGGTATAAAGCATTCTTAGTTAAAAGCTTTCCACATGGAACAGATTTGATGGAGAGTTAGGTCATCAACAGACAACCACCTTGTTCAAGCAAAGGGAAACAGAATAAATTGAGCTGTTTATCTAAGCCTGTCTCCTTCCCTATCATTTCCAAATGATGAGCTCTCAGATTAAATAGTGGAAGTTTGAGGAGACTGCACAGCCTCCGGGCAGACTGCT